TTAAAATATGGTAATTATTAAAAGCTGCAAGATTATCGTTGAATATATTCTGAATTAAATTCTCTCATTAAAATCACTAATTTTAGTTACCAAACTCACTATCATAACTCATTTATAAATTTCGTGTTTAAGATATCGTAAGATACCGTAATTATTGGAAACTATAAAAATTGTCACTGAATATATTCTGAATTAAATTCACTCATTAAAATTAACTAATTTCACTCATCTAATTCATTGTCATAATTCATTTATAAATTCAACAATTTTATTTCAAATTTTAAATAACTTACTAACGTAGCATAAAATGCAATTCTGTTAATTGAATCATTTCCTAAATTTAAACTTTTTTTTTTTTTTAAAAAATAATTTGCTTTTTTTTCTTATCATATTAATAAATTTTGATTTATTTCCAGTATCAGATATACGAACTTACAATCGAAATTTGCCACCAGCTCCATGGGTTGCAGATGAGGAGGATGGTCAACAGGTATCAATGCCACAATCAGGTTACCTTCTTCATATAGCATTCTGATTAGCTTAATAGATTGAATCAAATTGGTATAAATGTTGTATAGCATAATTGCAGCACAGGCGCTAGCAAGGTTTCCTCGAGATCCAAGATCACCCAATGAACGATTAAGATTAGAAGCAATGCATGAGCAGCAACCTGGATATGGAAGTGATGGATCAGAAACATTAAGTATACATTCAGCACAGAGTATGCCTACAAGGTATCACATATTATAACTTGTATATTGGACTATAAACGTGATATGCTGAAAATTTTTACGTAATAATACTATCTATAAAGATTATTTTTTGAAATTCAAATTGATTATGTAAAATTCTGAATAATTTATACTACTATATCTGTTAAATTATAATTAATGCTTCTTTTTTTTCCTTTTCATAAAGGCAACCACCACGTCGTATAGCAAATGGTGAAAGTGAACAAGTAAGTATGAATCAACAATTAGATGATAATGTAGAGGAATACATCGAAGAAGGAGCTATAAGTGATTCTGTGATGGCTAAAGGAAGTGTTACCACAAATACCAAAGATCGTAAGAAAAGTTTGATGACAAGACTTATTCCGGGTAGAAATGCACCACTTGGTAAACTCTTAAACATATTAATATTCTAATAAACATTCTGAAAGATTTAATGATAGATTATATCTAATCAATAAACAATATTGTGGAATGAAAATAATCCAATATAGCAACAATATTCTTCTTAGTTATATCTTTTCATCATTGAAATATTTTAATTAAAAAATTAATTTGAGTGATTTTTGCTTTCAAAATTATTTGAAATTATTTCACGCATCAGTTTCGTTATTTTTTGAAGAAGTCAAAAGGACAGGATTTCAACGATCAGAAGAAGTGGGTGTGCCGGAAGGCTTAACCGTACCAGGCGATTATCTTCAAGCTCCGTTCATGAAGCAAACTTCAAAGGAATCAACAGATTCCTCACATAGTGATAAGTTAGTTCATTGATATAAAATGCTTATTTGATTTGCTTAGTTCTTAAAAATTTCTAGTGATAAAATCGATATCCAATAAATCAAATAAGTAAGTTTAAGAGTTACATTATTTTATGATTGATCATTTATGATTATAAAATAAAAGGATGTATGCAAATGAAAATTAATTTTTAATGTTTATTCGTTTCAGTTTGGGACCAATTTTAACCGATGGTCCATTGGGAAGTTTTGTTGATAGCTTGGGACCTGGCCAGGTAAATTATTCCCCTTAATTACATCTATTTTATATGTTGTAGTAGAAGAAGCAAACAAATATTGCTTATAGGTTGTGGGTCGACAAGTTTTAGCAAGTCCGGTACTTGGTGAAATACAAATAGGTATATCATCAGGTAGAGCAGGCATTGATGTTGAAATTATTCGTGCTAAAAATCTTGTAGTTAAGCCAGGTGTGAAAGTTAATCCAGGTATATTATTTATTTCTTCTAAAACATTTTAAACCAATGAAAATTTTCAATTTTTTTAACATATATGTGGTTAGTGCTAAGGATATATATATGATTAAAATTTCATAAATTATAAAATTTTTTAGAAATTATTGAAATTATCATGGTATATATTAAAAATGTTTGATAGATGATTCAAACAATTCATGAAGTAAATATGATATACTTTAGATTTTCATAATTTATTGAAGCTAATTTCAGCTCCATATGTTAAAGTATATTTGTTGGAAGGTAAACAATGCATAGCTAAAGCGAAAACACGTGCAGTAAGAAGGACCACTGCACCGATATTTCAGCAACATATCGTTTTCTCTGAGACACCAAGAAAGAAGATGCTTCAGGTATTAGATTGAAATGTATCAAAAAAAAGTTAAAAAATATTATTTCAATTATTTTGATTTTTTATCTTTTTAATTGATCAACTACTTCTCTCCTTAGTTAGCAAAATTTGAATATTTAAATAATTAGTAATCAATCAAATCCAAAGTTCGATTCAGTAGCAGTAATATAGATAAATGATCAATTGGAAATTTAAATGAACAAAATTATAATAGCATCAAGTAGTATTTTAGATAACAGTAATGGCTGATTATGGCCGAATGGAACGGAAATCATTTATGGGTATTGCACAAATCCGATTGGATGATTTAGAATTGGGTTCTGAGCCAATGGTTGGCTGGTATAAGTTGTATCATAGTTCAAGCCTAGCCGGTACTGGACCAGTTCGTAAAGATAGTGATACAAGTTTGACTGAAATAAAGCAATGATTTGGTCTCACTGTTTTATAAGCCTTCTTTCTTTCATTCCATTTTTTTTTTCTTTGATTTTATTCATTAGAAGTGAAAATGATTTAGTTCATTTTTCATTAAAAAATAAATCAATTGAAAATGCTTAAATTTTTCTTATACTTCTTGATATATTGTAATAAACGTACTACAGTAATAAAGTTATTTTCTCTATACATTTCAATATACAGTAGTATTCTACAGTAATGAACCCCATATGCATTTCGTTATACAGTAATGCTCTACAGTAATGAATCCTACATACATTTCAATATACAGTAATAAACATTCTATAGTAATAAATCTCCCATATATTTCGACATTAAGCATTTTATAGTAATAAAGTTATTTCCACCATACATTTCAATACACAGTAATATTCTACAGTAATGAGCCCTCCACATATTTCAATATACAGTAATATTCTACAGTAATGAGACCCCACACATTTCAATATACAGTAATAAACATTCTATATATAAATCTCTCTCATATATTTCGACATTAAGCATTTTATAGTAATAAGTTATTTCCACCAGTAATATTCTATAGTAACGAGTCCGCACAGTAATAAATATTCTACAGTAATAATTTCCTTTACACATTTCAGTATACAGTATTAAACATCTATAATAATTTATCCACACTCATCTCACCATTTACAACATTGAATATCCTGTAATAATAAATTATTCCAACTTTTTTTTTTTTCATAAAACATAACTGATCACCTAATTTTTAAATGCAGTTGTTTTGTTATGAAGTTAATTATGAACAAAGTAAACTTGAAATAATTTCAGTATTTTAATAGAGTAACCAGATGAAGTTTTATTTCCATTATCTGAGTAAATGAACAAGATTTTAGCATGTCATGACTTAGTAAAATTCTTTGTACATTTAACTTTATTACTTCTTCACACTTGCAAGCAAATTCACAACCTAATTCGTTTTATTTTTCTTTGCATGCAATGATTTTAATCGAGAAACTAATGAACAATTTAAAAATCTCAAACCAGAAAAAAAGATCGATAAATTATTTCACAGTTAAATGATATATTAAAGATAAAAGATAAATAAATTAAATCAAGATTAAATGCCATCCAAGTTTGTTGGTAATGAAAAAAATAACATTTGTGCGAAAGAGAGATGAAAATTTTCTTTTTCAATTTCATTAATAATATCTTTCTATCAGCGTTATTATCATTATATTTGAAATATTTTTTGAAGCATAACCAAACATGTAAATATCTTGCAGAAATTTAACCTAATCTTTTAGAAATACTGAAAAATAACAAAGGTAATTATTCCCACTTTATTCTAATTCTCTTCTAATAGTTCAAAAATAACATAAAATGGATCAGCAAAGGTTAGATTTATGCTCAAATGAAAACATTTCTATCATTCAATCTATTCCATAATATAATAACCTCTTTCCGGTTACATAAATATGCATTACGATATGAGAGCAAATTTAGTTATATAATTGAACCGATACTATTATCAGCAAAGAAAAAGTTGCTTTTTAATCCTTTTTTCTTCAAATAATTATTTCCTGATTGTATATACGCTTTTTACTGTTGAAAATATTGTTGAACATAAATAAATTCACTGATAGAATATTGCCTAGCGAAATTCAATGAATTTTAACCGTTAAGCAGCATGTCGGCTTAATTCATCATTAAAAAAATCCATAAATTCCCCTATGTACCTTGTGAAATTTATTATTCTATTTGTTAATGCAAATCTTACTCAACTGCTTACTCTTTTTTCCAACAGAAATTTTTTCTTTACAAAAATCCATAAATTAATAATCTTAGTCTTCCTGCAATAAGTATCACTTTTATAAAGAAGTTTGATGCAAAAATAATCTTATTTTTTCAGAAACATTTATTTTCAGAAAGAAAAAGTAAGAAGTGTAAAATAAGAAGTGAGAAATAATTATTCAAAAAAAAAAACCAATGAAAATCCTGAAATAATACGTCTATGCTATGATGGCAACCCTGCATAAACACTGATATCTTACAATGAGAACATCAATTCAATTCACTAAACAATCAAGAAATCAAAGTAGTTAGCAAAAACTAAATTTCATCCACGAAAGTCCTACTTCAACAACTTCTGGTAAATCTTTTAAAAAGAAAAGAAAAAATCTTTCGAGTGAAAAACATCAGAGAAAGCGCGATAAACAATAGTACAGTAATACGAAAGTTATGAGATCAACAATTACAACCGTTTCTTCTTTGGAAGAGTACCTCCTGTCATCATAATATTTGCTTCCCGAGGGGATCGTTTCACAGCATTCTTCATTAAATGTGAATTGAAAACTATTTCATCCTCTTCCATCTGTTCCTCACCAATTTCAGCTTCTTCTTCTAACGAAATCGAACAATCGTTACCACTTTCCATTTCACATTGCTCATCTCCCTTACCAGCATCTTCCTCACAGGAATGCTGGCATTAAGACATAATTATTAAGACTAAGATCAATGAAAACATTACGGCAATCACATGATGCTCAAAATTTAAAGGTTTTTGAAATTTCTATAATTCATATACTTCATATTTACTACTTGCCGTCATTTCATTCTCCTTTCAGAAAAATAAAAAAAAAACTTTCATCACAATCAGGATAGAGAAAAGAAATGCAAAAGAGATTCATTTTTTTTTTTTTTTTGCTGCTTAAAATTTCATTTCGGCTTAGTTAAGCAAACACATATAGCAATATGCTCATATACATCAGTTCAAGCAACTTCACCATGGTGATACTCGAGAAAATAAGTAGCTTACATTAGATGTGCCTGACCGCTGCTGTTGTTTCGGTTCCCATAAAGCATTTCGCACAAAGCTTTTCGCTGCCCGCTGATTCAAACAAGGTGCTGTTTTTCGTTCTTCTAGCTGTTTCAATCGTCCCATATACTCTTTCGTTCGGTCCTAAATAACTTACCGCAATCAATCATTGATAATATTATATAATTAAATCAATACTTATATATTTGCTCAATGTAGTAACAAATGAACATTAGGTAAGCGATGTAAGAAGGAAGAACAGAGAAAAAGTAAAATGCATTAAAACAGTCTCCAAAAACAAAAAAAAAAGAAAAAAAAAAACATAAGTAATGGTAATATTCGTTAATTGCTACAAAACTCGACCGAAATACCATTAGGCCAAAAAGTAAATGTGAAGAAAAATCACTGATAAAAAAGAAAAAAGATCCGATAAAAAAAAAAAAAAAAAATCAACAAATAAACTAACAATTTCATTTTGTAAAACTTCATTTTCCTTTGGTTTTTGTCCATGTGTGCAGAGCAACATCCAATATAGTGAATTGATGACAAACACAGACATCAAGTCAATTTCTAATTTTTCCAGCGGTGGCCTCTAAAATTTGCCCCATATAGAATGACGAAAAGATTCAAAATAATAAAAGTGTTAGAAGTAATTAAAATATCTAAAATTATACTCACTGATTGGTACGAAATTCGACCAAAAAATACCATTCAGTCGAAAAGTGGATATGACAGAGTATGAAGAAAGGCGAACAGAAGGAAAGAAGAAACAGAATGGTAGGAATGGAAATTAGAGAAAAAAATCAAAGAAGGACATATTTTAGGTAAGTTCTGGTAGATCGACTGGTGTGAAGTTATCAGGAGTGCTGACACTGCTTTAACGTGTTGATCAGGGAGACCTATCATCACATGTAATTTAGCAGAGGAAACATGATCTCCACATGTTAGCAAAAAATAGTTACTAATTTAAAAAGACTTTACGACTTCCGGTAGATGACTGGTGTGAACTTATCAGGAGTGCCGATACGGCTATAACATGTCAACTTTAGCATTTTAACATTTTAAATTCGCTCCTCACAAGCGATGATATTCGGATCATTCGGATCACATTGGTGAAAAAATACTGATAGAGTTAACTAATATCTAGTGAATCAGCAAATCGCACACGGTTAAATTTGTTCATTACCTAACAAAGACGTGAAAATTAATGGAAGAAATGCAGTAAACAATAAATGATGTGTTATACTGGATTATTAAATTAGTAAGTAATTATATGCCAAAAAAAAGAAAAAAAAATCGATCACTATACTTGTATTATTTATTTGATTAATAAATTAATCGATTGAAGTATTATATATGTATCAATAACAGATGACTGAAAGAGGAAACCTGAGCATTTTCCTCTAGAGAATTCGAAAAATGCTTCAAATATGTATCTTCAAGAATTGTTAATGCTTCATTAAACCTTCGCAATTGTTCAACAACTTCTGGTGGTATCGAATCACTCATCATTAATCCTAAAAGAACATAATATCACTTGATAATAACTAATACAAAATGATCAATCAAAATAGAAAAAAAAAAAAAAAAAAGGAGAAACAAAAATGTTTACAACTAATCAAATGAAAAAAAAAAAAAAGAAAGAGGAAAAAAAAACAACAACTCAACACTTCCACAAAACAACCAATCAGCAAATCTCTGAAATAACGAAATGAAAAAATATTTTGCATTCTCAATTTCTAAAACAAAAATCCGTCCATCACTCGTTTAGCTATCCGCGAAATACCGGCGTATCTGACGTTTGTAACGTTATCGATAGTCTACCGGTTTATTGCTGTATTGCTGATGTGTCAATTTTTTCACGTTTCACGTGTGCACGTGTAAAGCTTAGCTGACGTACTAGGGAAAATTCATGTACGTTTTAGGTTCAGGCACATTTCACGTTTAATGTTAAAAGTGCAAAAAGAAAATTTGGTGTAATTTTTTAAATTTATTTTAATAAAATACAGGTAAGTGAAAGTATTATGTTTGCTCAATTGTTATAAGCATACTGTATAACAATATAAATAGTAAATACTCATTGCTTGTTAAGGTATGTTAACGTTATTACATCTACAGCTATTGTCGAGAATGTAAAATATAGATTGATTGTTAGTGATTGCTTTCACGTTTACGTGATTGTTTGCGTAATTTATATTATGTCATATTCTTTCAGCTAGTCTACTGTCTTCCTTTTTTCTTGCTGTCAATGATCAGTTGATTGATTAAAAAATATTTATGGAATGATTTTTGTATAAAACTTTAAAATAAAACATTTTGTTAATCTAATTATTATAAAAAGTAATCGCTATGATATTCGTAATTAGCAAATTCTTGATTGTAATTTCGCTTCATTTTGCTGAGACGTTCACATTTTGTTATGTTTTTGTGTATCAAACTCTATTGTAAAGGTAAATTTCAAGTTAGTTGATGCATATCGTTGCGGATGTCGCAGTTTTATTGGCAGTTGCAAACGAATACACAGCAACAAGAAAGGAATGACGCAAAGGATATCAGTGAAGTATCACAAGAACAACAACAACAACAACAACCATCGTATTGGTGGCATCAGCAGGATGTTAGTCCATATTTGCGTATTAGAAAGAAATCAGCATTAGTACTGTAATCAACGAATGGTTTAATAGTTTTTTTCAAAAGTTAATCATTTCTATGAGAGTACATGTTTTTTTTTTTTTTTTTTTTCATTTGTTATGAAGAAATTTTTATTACTTATTGTCAAAAACATTAGACAATTTTCAAAAATGTTGTGACATAATTCTTTAAATGCAATAATTATTCATTCAGTAGGCTTATTGTTTTCAAGTTTGATGAATGATTATACTTATAGCGGTGAATTTATACCAGGTAATCCGTTGTTAAGGAGTTTAATTCAAATATTAGAAAACGGTTTTGTTTCGTAATTTTAAATTGGCAACCGTAAAATAAAAGATCCAGAAATATAATAGAATAGGGAGCAAAAAAACATGAAAACTATGATTTACAACTGTATTCCTTTAGCAAACTGGAACGGATCCATATAGCGCGGCAGTATTTGAAGGTTTTCGAGCATCATCCGGTGATGTTAGTCAAATAAGAAGTTGGCAAACACCTAATATTCCCAGCACATTTTCCACTCAACAGCAATCGGAAAAATTTCCTGAGGTTGATTTTTTTAAAAATTATATGAGGAGGGATTGGTTATGCAGAATTTGCATTTTACTTTTTTCACGGAACTGTTGTAAAATATAATTTTAGATTTATCTAAAAAGTATTAGTAGTGATGTGTTTGAACTGTTTAAGCTATCTGAAATTTAGGAAAAAACGGCTTCACTGGAAATTCGTGAGCAAAAAAATGAGCAGGGAGGACCATATTCGTTTGGTATTCATCAACCGATCTTGGACTTCAAACGTCGCACTGTTGCAGAAGTACGTTGTTACCTCAGATTTCTGGTTTGGTATTGATACTTTAATAGCTTGTTGAAGTCATAATATATGTTTAGATAAAAATTCCAATTATTAAAAAATTTCTTTTTCAGGGTAAGGAAGCAATTGACGAAAAGTATAATGATCAGCATGATAAAGTGAAACTGATTTCTGGCGATGACGCGGAAGGTGTAAATTTGATCTTTCATATTTTTAGAAACTTACTGTCGGAAGATGAGTTAAATGTCAATTATTTTAATCGTTAATTCTTTAAGTCGTACAGACAGTATTTTGTAAATCTAAAGCAGTGGCAACAACATCCTGAATTATTATTTTCTAAAAGTTTATAATTTTTTTATCACTTTGAATATAACTAAATAAGGGAAAAGGATACTTTTGGGATAATAATTTTAATGTTTTATGTACTTTCATGTTCCTTGATTAATTGCAAGTAACTGGAAGATTGGACTTGCAAAAGAGTTTTTTTTTTTTTTTTTTGTTTTTCGATAAATTGTTACATAAAATTCGAATTTAATATGATAAGCAATGATTGGATGATGAAATAAATATTACAGGTAATGTGGCGGCAGGTGCATTACTGCTAGAAGAAAAAGAGCAAGCAGTAAATGAGGTAAATAATAAATGTTTTTTACTTTACAGAAAGAAACATTTGAAAATCGTTCAAAATGATATTACTGGGATGAAATTGGGCACAATGGATCATACTAGCAAAATTATTTTCAGACTGAAAGTGATGTACCAGTAGTAGCAGTGACTCAGGTCACTCCTGTAATAGCAACATCCATTTCTACTGCGACTGAAACATCATTTTCTGCTGATACTTTGTCCTGTAATCAAACAATCTCAACAACTGTTTCTCCTGTAAACATCGCTCGTGTTGATCCTATTTCTAACAACAGCGATCCTTCCGGTAATTTCTTACTTAATTTCAACTAGCTTCACCTACCGCCTTCATACTTACTGATTGTTTATGATATCTTTAACAGTTCAAACCGAAAATTATGTAGGGTTAAGATTTGATGCTAATTTTTGGATATTATTACTCATTCATGAACTATGTTAAGTGTACCATAATTTTACCAACTTTTCCTTGAATGTTTTTTATTTTCGGTTTTGAAAGTGTGGCACTTTCAGAATTTTCAGTGAATCGTGTTGTTACAACATTACAATCAGTCATTCCTAGCCCGCAGATACCTTCACTTACATCAGTTGCAAATAGTGCTCGTAGTACTCCATTATTATTAAATAAAGAAACTGATGAAACACAAAATACTGCTGGTATCGAGGAGACATCAACTGTTTCGAACATTGTATCTGCAACGAATTCTCAGGAGCCGAATGCTGCTGTAGTATCAGTGAAGCGACTTGAATCGGTACGATTAAATTTTATCAGAATAAATTTAAAGACAGAAAAACTGCAAATAACAGATAAGTTTTCACCTTCTTGAAGTTGTCAGGAATAGTTTATATTTTAGGTTATGCGTAGTGCTTCCAATCAGTTAAGGAAAGTGGTTAATGCGGATTCCAATTCACTTCCAACTGATGTCATGCAGGAGATACGAACTGAGAATGAATTACGACAAATTGTAAAGGAGGTGAACTTTTCTGCATATTGCTAAATTTTAGAGCATGTAATAATTTTTTCACCTTGAATTTAAAGTAATCACAGCGAAGATTAACATTTCAAGTTGAATTCTACTAGATGGACAAGTTAGATGACACGTTCGATAGACTAATGAGCGACGTTCGAGTAATATTTGTAAGAGATAGGCTTCTATTATCTTATACTTCAAATCTTATACTTATAATTTGTATTATATATGTAACAATTTGTCTCTTCTCGGCACGTTACTTTGTTTTCAGGGTACTACAGAGCATAACACTGTGATATCGACATCAGAACAATCCACGGATTCAACTGTAGATTCTATTAGCAGACCTGCTGGAAAACATTGGAATTCTAAAAATGTTCGAGACCGATATCGCATTATTCGCCAGCAGTTCGTTTCTCTCTTAATTTATCTTTCCTGATTAGCACAGAAATTTCCTTTATTCAACCACAAGAATTTTAGAAAACAATGAGTAAATAAACATTCGTTTTCTTATTAATTGATAAGAAAAATAATGCCATTAAAAACTGCACCATTTTTAGATACCCGGAAGTGATTAAACGACTGGATCGTTTGAAAATGGAAACTCATAATTTGGATTGGCACCAGATGCATAAAGCTCCATTAGTAGAAGTAGACGAAAATGCTCATAGGTCGTAATTTATGTAGAAAATCTTTATTTTTATTTATCTTTCTTTTCTCTCCGACAGTTTATCTATTTTGTTAATATTATTAGATCTTATTAATTATATAATCAAACCTTATAAGTAGTCCACACATCTCGCAGTGCTTTTTCTTTACATCTGATACGCTTTTGTACTGCAATTACCATTGCCGGTTTACATTATTATATTTCAGGATACCAAGCAGAAAACAAAAGAATTCAGTAGCGGTAGGTATCGATTCCAATTTTACTGCGAATTCGAAGAATGTTGAACCGATATCGGATTCTCGACCTTCTTCTAAAAGTATTTATAATTTGCTCGTTTAACACAAAAAAAATTGCTTGTTAGCCATTTTTTTCTCAAAACTCTTGATATTTTGCAGTGAATCATTCATATACGCTTCCCGATCGCATGGGCATGAGTTCTGAAAATAGCTCGGTGAAAAATGATGTTTATTATGGGGAAGATTTTGTTAATTCACTTCGTCGGCAAGTTTTTACTTTCATATTTTTTATAGTCATAAGCTTGAATAGTATTGTAATTAAAACAGAAGCGTTATCTTACTTTTTTCTTTTTTTTTTTTTGAAGAACTCGTCATACTCGTACTCGGGAACATGATTATTTTTTATCACGTGGTACTAAATCAGAGATGGGTGAGATAGGACCATATAGAGGTCCTGCACTTGCTAAATATAAACATATGATGCAACATACATATGGCTATAATTCTTCAACCGGTTATCAGTCAAACGAGTAAGTTATTGAATTTTATTATTTAGAAACAGCAAAATTTTTATTTTTGTTGAAATTATGAAGAAAAAAAAAAAAAATATTTCTCTGTGGTAAGTGATAATATTAATTGTTTCAATTTATATAATTCTGTGTATACATGATAGTACATTATTAAATTCATAATGCTCTATATTAGGCATTACCCAAGTGGTAGGCATTCATTGGGGCCTCATCTTGGACGACGTGTAGCTCATGAATTAGCCATGATGTATGATGGCGATAACGTTGCAATGCGACGACCCCAGTCTTCATTTGATGCTCCATATTCAAAGTATCTTTTTCTTTCGTTTATTATCGAATTCTTCATACTGAAAGTTGAGCACAAACTGCAAGCATTCAATATGATCCATTTAATACAGTAATTTAGTTTTAATTGATAAAAATTTCCCTTCTTGTTTCACTTAACTTCTTTGCAAAACTAGAAAAAAAAAAAAAAAGAAAAGATTGTTTACTTTTATTGCCAGAACTTCAGTCAACTCATTTTGCAGCAAAAACATGTACTACTACACTCTATATGATTCAAAAGTGAATATAATTGCAGATATAGCTTTCTCTTTAATGATTTTACTAATAAAAATATTTCTGTACTTCCAAATAATTTTTACTAGGATTTTTGAAGTTTGTTTTTCGAAGACAACAACACTCTCTATATGTTATAATTTGCATTATCATAGGTAAAAAAAAAAACGAGTTAGAATCGAGTTGCATTAGTTGCTTTAATTTTGAAGAGTCAGTCTACCTTTTTTTCTTTTCTCATAAAAACTGCTAACACTCCACATTAAACGATTACGATTTATTTCTAGATATCAACAATTGAATGAATTCGCTCAGGACAGTCGTCAAAATCATGAAGGGGAACATTCGTTCGAGAATAGGGATGGAAGTAGTGGAAGTGACAGTGAAATGGAGCGAATCCATAATAAACAGGAAATGGTATATTTCAGAATTATTCAATTGTTGATTTACACTCATTAATTATTTTTTGTTCTCTTGGCATTGTTTTAATATTCAATGTGATATTTGTAAAATGTTAATATCTAGGAATAGTGTTGAATATATAATGAAAATATTTAAAATCATTGCTAAGTAGTTCTTTAAACATTAATTGTGCTGTATTGCAAAGTGAATAACTTTTCACTAAAATTTCTGCAGGCACGGCAAGCTGCTGCAATTCGTTACGATTCATTACCTTTAACAGCTCCAAATGAGTTTTACTATTTTGGTGTAATACAGTTGCCACAGGTTAGTGATTTTTGATATTTCAAAAAAAAAAAAAAAAAGAAGGGAGAAAAAATTGTTAGACAATAACAATAAAGTTTAAGTAGTATAAGAAAAAAAAAAAATTATCATATTATTTTCACTTAATAAGACGCATAGAATGATAAAAATATGTTTATTTAAGGAACGCGTGGAGTACATAATGCGTAGATTACCTCCTCCTCCAGAATATTTCCAATTGCCTGCAATCGAAAAAGCAGCTTATTTGTTTTATTGTGTTCTCTATCGTCATCACTTTCTTTCAGTGGATCTATTTCATAAAAAATTCAATCGAGAATTTTTTAGCTATATGTGTGAAGGAGATTCAGCTGAAATTGCACTTTGGAAGGTTAACTTTTTTATTGAAAAAAAATTTTTATTGCTCTTATTTGTCCTCAATGATTCATGCTCAGTGATGCTTCAGATTTGTAAACATACACAAGATGAATATATTGCTAAACGTTCGATAAATCAATTGAAGGCTTATGAAATGTCTCAAAAACAGTTGTTTAGTGATGAGCATGAAACACTTGATAGCAGGTTATTTCATATATCATTTCTTTTTTTTTCTTCATATTTGGTAATCTGCAGTATATATTCTGATGTATTTTGTGAAGTTGAGCTTAAAAAAAAGGTACCTTTTGTACAAAATAAAATATTGTAGAATGAAAAGTTTATGACATTTATGTAGGACATTGCTAGCAACATATGTGTATAAATCTGACAAAACCTTTAAAGTTTTATAAGTTTTTACTAATAGCGAAAAGATTGTTACATTTGATCAACTTCAGTTACGGCATTAATTTAATATTAGAAATTTAGTTACGTTACGTTGATCTTTAGTTTTAATTTTTTCGTACGATAAGAAATCGAAAATGTTATTAGTGAATTGACTTCTTGAGACTTTTTTTTTTTTAGTTATAAAATACAATTTCGTCTTTTTTTGCTTCCTACTATAGAGATTTCTAATTTGTCTGAGAAAAAATTGCTAATCCAATCGTATTTCTCAAATGCATTTCAGTTTTGACTTATACATTGTACTCATATATATAGCGGATGAATGGTATTATATTATTATCAGAAAAGTGCTCTTACATTTTTTTTTTTTTTTTGTTTCGGCTCTTTCAAAATATTTTAATTTCCTTATGCATCTTTAATTTTTCAGACAAAGTGAACGAGGAAGCCGATGTGATGTTGAAGATGACAGTGATCAACTGAGCATCGATTCTGCTGCTAAAGGTTTTGTTTATCATATTAGATTGTAAATTCTTGCTTTTTGCTTTTTTGCTTTTCGCTGATGATTTAAATTTCATTCTTAAAATTCGATGATTGATTATTTTTGTTTCTCAAAGTGAAATTTTATGTAGTCTGTTTATTTTAGAACCAATGAAATTTCGTGTGCCACACTCATTTCTAAGATTTGGTGTTGGTGGAAAGGCAATTATTCTAAATGTTCAGAATTCGGAAAATATCCTAGAGATACGTGATCTGAAAAGTTTATTTGGTAATGAAAAACTATTGCGTATTTCGAATGCAATTGAATCATTCCGAGGTATATTTTGATGTTTTAGGTTGAAGATGTTTTCTTAAGCTTCTAATCTACAAATCAGTTGAACAAAGTTGTTTAGGTTCACAATCAAGCTCATGTAAAACAATTTTCGACATAAAATTATGGTATCATTTTTATTTTTAAGGATTATGAGGAGCTGTGGTGATTTATATTAAACTTCAATCAGCAGTGCAAAAAAAAAAAAAAAAAAATCTCTTTGCGATTTTCTTATATTTGAATGCCACATATAATTGCTGATTTTTAGGTCCTCTGATTGCCGGATTCACTCCAACTCATTCTGTACACCTTTACATACAACGTCAAATTGAGTTAATTCTCAAATCGGAAACTTATCTTGCAAACCCATCAAATAGTTTAGAAAGCGACTGTCTTTTAATATGGCAACTTCTAGAAATGCTTGTGCAACAACAAGGGGTATGCTTTTAACTTTGAATTAGTAAGTTAAATTTTTAATGCTTGATCTTTTTTTTTTTTTCTTTAATACTGAAAATAAAACAGTTCATTAATTCTGCTAATAATTCAGCGAATAACGGGTCCTGATTTGTCACGGTTATTAATGGCCACTTATGACGTGCCTGAGCAGCGACGACATGGCAAAGAAAAGTCAAGTTTGCATAGTACAAACTTCAATGAATGTTCTGTGGATTCTAAAGCGTATGATCGTTTCACACAACTTCTTATTGGTGGTCATATTAAAGTAAGTTTTATTGTTAAAACTCTTTTTTATCAAAAAATCAAAAAAATGAGAAGTTATCATTCCGATAACATCCATATTTTCATTGAAGTAAAGAATAATGTAGATATTATGTTAGATTTAGAGATTCTTTGTCCTGAGCATTTTTATTCTACGTGTTTTTGAATTTTGATATGAATGATCAAATATTAAGACATTATTTTGTTTCAATTTTTATAATAAGTCATCTTTTTTTTTTTTTTTTTTTTCGTTTGTGTTTCAGGAAGCTCTTGAAAGTGCAATTAAGGATGGTTTGTATTCGGATGCAATGATTTTGGCACGTCGTATGTGTGCCAATGAGCCACAAGAACTTGAAAAAGTTGAAACAGCCTTTTTGTCGCAGCGATCAGAAATGAATCCTGTAATGACTCTTCTATCAGTTGCAAATGGGCAACCGGCTCCGGTTCTGGTAATTTTTTATTCCTCTTTTTATTCATGCTATCATTTGTTTGTTTAATTTTTTCGATTTTAATAATTTCAAATCACTATTTGGTTCGATAAGCTTCGTTCATTTTTTGGAATGATGTATGCATATCTCAAACTAAAACCTATTATTATTCTTAAAATATAGATAAAGAGATGGTTTTTCTTTTTGTAGACAAGTCCACCGATGGATGAAACAAATAGTTGGCGTTCACATGCAGCTATAGTACTAGCTAATTTAAATAATCCAGTAGCTCTTGGGACAGTACATCAACTTGGCTGTGTGCTTGCTCGTCGTGGATTACATGCTGCGGCTGATTTTTGTTTCTTAGCAGTCAGTCTTTTGTTACCCAGCTATAATCCATTTCAACCGATACCAAGAAGGTGTTTTCTTTTTTTTTTTTTTTTGTTTGTTTATTGCTTTTATTTCAAAATGTTTATGTTTATTTATTTATTTATTTTGCTTGCTAGAAAAATTCACAATTTTTTGATAGTTTTTAGTGATGATATGAATACGGATGTTCGTCGACACATAACACTTATTCATGCGACTTTGCCAGGCGAAGAAATGAATTTTGATTTTTCGAAAAGGTAATCAAAATTTTATTCCTGTTCTTTTATGTGTGAAAAAAATTATCTCAAGATGATATTTGGCATTTAATTCTTCTCAAATATACTACCTTTTTATGTCGTTCTATTGTTTACTTTTCTTTAAATGCTAAAGCATTTTATTTCATTCTTTTCATGTTCTTTTAATTACATAAAAAATTTCAGTTTTTCGATAATAGATTTGCATGCTACGGAAATTTTTCACTATTGCACAAAGTTGGCCAATAACAGCTCTTTGATAAATTTCAACACATCAATTGCATATCAATTACATCGTCTGGATTATGCGGAAATGGTTTCGGAATTTGGAAATTCAGCAGGAGATGCTTTTCGATATTGCGTTGAAATTGCGAAGGAAATTTGGAATAGACATCATGAAATCGATATCGAACAGCTTGAACGACTTTATGAACTTGCTGAACGGTGCGTATTATGCATTCTTTATTTATCTTCTTTCTCTTGTTTCGTCTATAAACTTTATTTCTTCATGCACATTAATTTGTATATAATTCTGCTTGTTATAGCATTTTTAAAACTCAGATCTAAATCATTGCATGGTAGTCTTGAAATTTCCGATTTTAAAAAGATTTTTTTACATATGAAACAGTGTTGAAGTCCTATAAATACAGGTTTCAGTAAACTAAGAATTAAATTAATTGATAAATATAAGGCCGTTATATTTATGCTTTCATGCTTTTATGAGGTTTATGAGTATATTTATAGTCTAAAATTCGTCGCATCCGCAGAAACAAACAGTACAGTTTGGATTCCAGCATTGCGGTCTTTCATAGATAACCAGAAAAAGGTAACTGAGGAAAGTAAAGTGATACAAGATGATGCTACCACAAATATCGATCGTAACAATGAAGATGTTGGTTTAATCATGGTACCAAAAGTATCACCGCAAGTAATCCTCTCTTTTTTTTTGTATTTTTTTCCTTTTTTTTTTTTTTTTTTGCGAAGACTGTTTCTATGAATAGTAATCATTCTTCAAGTAGTAGTTATTCAGAAATTCGTACTTTTGATTTGTTTCCTTCATATCTTTTTAAAAACAGTGATATTAATTATTTTAGATTGAAACGCCGGTGAATTTCACTGAGAAAAGCAACAGCCAAGAGAATGAGTTTGTTAAGTAAGTTTGCTAAATACCTTTTTTCCAAATATTAATATTAAAAAATTTATCTATTGCTTGAACTTATAAATTGCACTTCATTATCATTCTTTGTTTATTATTATCAGCATGACAACATTGGGATCTGAGACAGTCAAATGGCATATTGGACAGGAGGCAGCTACTTTCTCAACAATTCCAGTCAAGCAGCACGAAGCAGAAAGTCAAAAAGCTACTGAAAATAACGGTTAAATTTTAAAGCATTTAGATTTTAGAGCAAATTTGTTCAGCAGTTTGTTATTCTTCAAAGATGTAAATATATTTTATACTGTTTAAGTATAACTATTTTTGAACTCTCCTTCATCTTTTACAGCAAAAAAAAATAATTAGAACTCGTTAAGCACTTTTATTTTTTTTTTGTTAACCATTTAGATTTGTTGCATATAACTAATCCTACCTTTTCCTATTTTTAATTGCAAAAAAAAAAAAACGTTTGAGATTGAAGCCACTTATAAATCTTTTATTCATTGGTCACTTATTTTAATTTTCAGATTATCAAATGCAGCCAGTGCAACCACGAGAGAGGATTGAAACGCATAGCAACACGAACGCATCGGTAAATTCTCAGGTACAATTTTGAGTCTAAGTGAAATTTTCTGTTTGAGTTATTTTCCTTTTTCATACTGCTGCTCTCCAATTTTTATCATCGATCTTTCCTCCATGACCAATAATGAAAGTAAAACAAGAACTGATAAGGATTAGATAATTTCAATTCTAGTTCTAAATTAAATTAGCATCATTGTGAAAGATATGCTTATATTTATATTTCTACTTGTTATGTATAATTTTCAGTGCACATCACTTCTTCCGCCAGTTCTATCAACTAGTACGAATGATTCTGTTGAAAGTAGTGTTACAAGTCATACAACAGTTATTTCTCCTTCATTGCTGCAAGCAAATGAACAAATTTCACATGAAGCAGTGCAAAATTATTACGATGATAATAGCACTTATGATTGGAAAGTTTTGAAAATGAAACAACAAACTGATTCGAAAAGAGTAAATAACGAAATAGTGGCAGAATGTGTAACAGATAATAATACTTCTACTACAATTAGTCATGAAAATACTTCACGTGGAAATGTTGATCATTTGGTAAATTTATTCACCTTATTTATCTTTCATTTCTTTTGTTTTTGCTAGTACAATTAAAATTCTAAGTTTTGTACTTGTGTTTAGGAAGCAAAAATTCCAAACGGAATGCTACCTACAGGAACAACAGGAAGGCAAATTCAAGGAACATTTCAATCCGCTCATATATCTCCAATAATTCAAAATTCAGGTACAAATTAAATGTTCAAATTTTATATTGACTATTTTGAGTTAAATATTTCATGTGCCGTTTACATATTCGAATTATTTACTTTTATATTTCTTACTTTCCTTTTTTTTTTTTTTTTTTTTTTTTTTTGCAGAACTTTCATTTCCCTCCCAGCAACAATCAAATATGGTTAAAAAAGATGAACAGGTTAATAATTTTTCTTCCTCAATTTTTTTTTTTTTGGTTAATTTTGTCGCTTCATTTTTTATAATTTCAATCGCAAAAATGATGTAAAATGATATTTAGGCACATAATGGCGAGAAACTTATAAACGATCATCGTCAGAATCCTGGATTATTTTCAAAACTAAAAGCAACAATTGCAAAAGCAATTCCATCAAGCAATGAAATGATTCTTCCAGACGATAAGCATCCATCGGTATCATCGAATAATGTTTCATTATCTTTTGTAAAATTGGAATGAAATGTTTGACAGTAATACTTTAAATTTCTTGTCATTCATTCTTGCTATTGGTTATTTTTGCACTAGCTATAGAATTTTCTAAAATTACAGATTGTATGGGATCCAAAGCTTAACAGATATGTTGGTGAAGGAATTGAGGAAGAATCTGTTCCGGAACCGCCACCATCAATTACAGGAACTTCGGAAAAGTTAAACGAATCGACATATGTTAAGGCTGGTGGATTGACTGCTGCTCGACTAAGTGGTGGTAAGTTATTCTTTAACCTAAATAAGGCTGAATTTTACCTATTGTTTTTGTCGTAGAAGTAGTTAATAATTCGAAATTATTCTTTCCTTATTTTTACTTTATTTTGGATGATTTTTTTTTTTTGTCCGCATTTCTGCAACAAATATTCTCTGTTGTTTGTATAACTTTTGAATATACACTGAAAGCAAACCGGAAAACAAACTATGTTTCTTTTTTGTTTTTTTGTAAACTTATTCAACTGAATTTCTTTCTTGAGTCATAAATTTTACAGGATCAAGATATTTCAATCCACTTATCGAAACATCATCTTCTAAGCCAAGAGCTCATACCGCTCCTCTTTTACCACCAGTACCTGCTTCCGCTAGTTTTGGTTTCATACCATCAATGCCTGGTAAATTTTTTTATGAAATATTTTCATTATTATATCTCAGTATTGAAGTTTTAGACATTCAGACTTTACTTTGTTACAGTTGTTTAATGACATTTTGCAGATGACAATGAAGCATCTACAGAAAGTCCGTTCAGTGTTGACACTACTCCGTTATCAAAAGAGGCTGAAACTGCTGAATAAGTCTCATAGAATCTGTTAATACTGATTCATACTGAAAGTTTTGTTTAGGTTTGAGTTATGTTTAATATTCGTAATGTGTTTTTTTTTTTTTTTCTGTTGTACAAGGAATGGATTGTGACAATAACTTTTTATTGCAGTAGTATCAGCAGATAAAACGTAATGTCTTATCTGTGAAAAATTATTTCTAATTGTTCTGTTGGTGGTTCTGAAATTCGGTGTTATATTTTAAGCTAATTAGTTGCTAAGAAATGTATTTTGTTAACATTTCAGGAGATATGTTTTTTATCGCTCATACCATAATAAGCATTATTTTCAAAGTCACTTAAAATACTTTACCTATCTACTACCTTCTGTTTTTTTTTTTTATAATCGCATAGAAAAATAAATATTTTTCTTTTTGTTTTCTCTCTTTCTTTTAGTTTGTTCTCATAATTTGTCGAATAATTTCAACCTTCTCCAATATCCCCACTTTTTCGGTTGATTTCTAGAATTTAATAATTAAAGTGACTTTGAGAATATAAGCTTTTATAAAGCTACTTTATGAGTGATGAGATTTCTTCTTTTTTTTTTTTTATTTTGAAATTATAAATTAAAATTGTGATGAAAGAAATTATGAATTGTTTTATTCTAAAATTTAGCATTCTTATTTCACTTCTTTAATCATTTTTGTTTGTTTTTTTTATCAATCACAAGTGATGTATGAAAGTGAAAATAAGCGTTCAATTGCCTTAAACAAATTTGTGAATTTGTTTTTTTTGTTCAAATTGATTTTCTATACTTTTCTTTTTTTTTTTGGATTTTATTTTCATTTCTTTACATTTCTGTTGTTTTGTTACAGGGGAATGTAGGTAAAGAAAATTTTTATTGAAACATTGTTTTTTTTTTTTTGAGTGTAAAATATTAGTTTGAAGGAAAGGAAACGCACGAGTAATATTTATATTTTTATCATTGTATATTTAGTGATTTGTAAAAGAAAGTCCTTCATTATGTGATATTTCCATGTCATTCTTTCCTAAAATTTTGTTTACATGCAGTATTATAGCCTTTAAAATATTTACAGTCTTCTGCTTATTATATTAGCTTCATTTTGAAATTTCTTCCGTAAACAATTTAGCTAAATAACGGTTCTATTTAGTTTTTCTTTTTTTTTTTTTTTTTTTTTTCATTTGTGACATTTATTATTCGCTTACCTAAAAAAAATGCCATAAATTATTTTATTTTTTCTTTTTTTGTTATTTTAGAGGTAATTTTTTATTTTAACTTTTTACTCTACTGTTATTATATAATACATTTTATATTGATTTATATTCTGTTTTACCTATGGAATATATGGTTTTGTTTTATATAATTTTATCATTCTCTTAACTAATTTTTTTTTTTTTTTTTCCGGTTGTTAAAAGAAAAGCAAATAATTTTTTACGTGAAGTTCACGTGTCCCTGTGCTGTTTATTCAGAAGCAATCATTTGATTTACTTTCCTGCTTGTTCAATTTTAAAATATAATTTCAATATTTGCTGCTTTTTATTTCTTTCTTTCCTCTTCATTTTCTACCTCTTGATTTTTTAAGCATTTCTTTATCTATACCTTCTCCCAAATCAACTATTTATTATTTATGTAGTGTAATTATTGTTAAAATTATAAATTTAATTTCAGACAGAAATTTATGGTTTCATTTTAATTTTTATAAAATGATGGAATCAGTAGTTTAAGATTTGAAATTGAAAAATTGGCTAATGATTATTGGTTGATAAAATAAGTTAGTGAAATAAATTTGATTAAGCATTGTATTAGGTAACTTTATAGGACAATTTGGAGAGGAAAGAGTGGTATTTATTTAAATTATGCGATATGAAATTTTTTTTTTTTTTAAATAAAGAACATTAATTGAATATTTCTATAAAATCTAAAAAATTTAAAAATTATTTTTAGTAATTGAATCGGAAAAGATAAAAGTATACACTGAGACTGATATATTTTGCTAATTCATTTGAATTTGAGATCCAACCATTCAACAAAATTTATGATGTTTTGTTTTAAAATTTATGATTAATTTCTAGGCTTTGTTCTGTTTATCAGTTTGTTTACTCCTTATGCGTTTCATTTAACAATTTATTTTATTCTTATATCCTAATTAAACTTTTTGTTCTAATATCAATTTGTAGTGATAAAAATTAAAACTCATTAATATTTAAGCTCATTTCGATTTCAATTCTATCTATTTAGCAATGTTCAATAACATTTTATCTTGTTTTAATTTTAACTCTTTTTTTTTTCTTTTTTTTTTACGGTGCTTTCATTTTAGTATTTCGATAGCAAATAAAAATAATTATTTTATTGTTTTAAAATTGAATCATTTGACAATGGAATATACCATTAACAGAATTCATTATTATTTCTTGCAGCAATGAATCAATTTAATAAAGTTTTTTTTTTTTTTAGATGATAATTCCAAGCTTATCTCTTTTTTTTTTCCTGATTTGTCAAAATGGTTTTAGATTATTTTTCACTGTTATTTTCTTTCTATCTGTTGAAATATGGAGAAAAAAATAATTTAGTAAAACTAATCGTTTTGTTTAATTTGATCGAAAATAGGAACGAAAATGAATTTTATTGATTTTTAAGTTCCATATAGGTTTTTTGTTAAGTTTCATAAAAATTTGGTTTTTTAAATTTTTTTTTTTTTTTTTTTTGAATTTTTAGTCTACAAAATTGTCCATTGAATAGTAAATAAAGCATTGCGACAATTGATTATTTCATTTAATAAATCACTTTAAAAAAAAAAAAAAATGTTTTTTAGATATCACTAGATGGCATATCAGATATCACGACCGAACGATGATACAGATCGTACCTTATGGATGGGTGATTTAAGTCCTGATTGGGATCAGGCATTCATAGGAGAAGCATTTGCACGAATGGGTGAAGATGTAACAAATGTGAAAATTGTTTTTGATAAACATAGTGGAAAGGTTATGTTTATTTACTAGTTAGAAATAGTAGAATCAACAAAATTGATTGATATCTATCATTTGAATTTTAAAGTTAATAATTCTAAAATAAATATTAATCTTTGAGTAAACGTTCGAATAATTTCATTTTAATTGCTGATAAAATTTTACTAATTAAAATTAGCAAATAATTGTGATGATGAATTGTTTATTTCTCATTTTTTTTTTGTTGTTTTATTTTATACATTGCTGTTTTATCCATGTTAGAAATGCAATTCATAGATTAATATTAAATGTTTTTTATTACCAACTTTATATTATATTAATTTTTTTCAATCGCTTTCCCAGATTGCTGTAAATGGCTGATGAATTCTACATTTTTTTTATTTTACTTCTTTTTTTTTTTTTTTTTTTTACAATCATTTTTTAATATTTATCTATTAAAAAGAAAGTTTAAATATTAGCTAGAGTTTTCCTATATTCCTTTGAATATATTATTTAGTTATAATTATGGAATGTTTATACAATACAATCAAGTAATTAATATATTATTTTATTTGATAGAGAATTTAATAAATTTTGAACTAATAAATGTGTATAATAATTACAGCAAGCTGGTTATTGTTTCATTGAATTTGCTGATCGTGATTCGGCTCGTCGTGCGATGTTGCATATTAATGGAAAAATTATTCCAAAATCAAAACCATATGCAGCATTTAATCTTTCTTTTGCTAATTCACCAAATGCACCGTTAGTTTAAGTGAATTCATTTTAATATAATTTTTTCATATGTACGAAATTGGGTTTAGTTACCAATTGAAACTGGTTTTTTTTTTTTTTAATGAGTAAAAATTTAAAGGTTTATAAAGTTTTAGTATTTAATTTTTTTTTTTTTTTTTTACTATATTAAACTATTTAAAAATTATTTAAATATAACCATATAATTATTTGGTAAAAAGCATTTAGTATCAATAATAACAAAATTTTTTGCTAACAAAACGATAAAAAGATTTGGATTATTGGCTTTAATCGTTATACTATTGATGGTTATTATTATAACATTCCTTAGTATTCTCATATTATTCTTAAGTTAAATTTTTTTTTGAAAACTAAAATGAAATATGATATGATTTTGAGGTATACAGAATATAATCTTTTTGTCAACAATGTACCACAGGATATGGATGATGCAGCACTTTTTTTGGTGAATTATCTATTATTTTTACTATTAATTGTCTTTGTTTTGTTTTATCTACCTATGAATCATAAGAGATGTTTTTTTTTTATATATGCCTTTGTAATTTCATTAAATTTCGCAGGTGATTCTTTGCAAGAAACAGAGAGTTTTTTTTTTTTTTTCTTTTTTCATAATGATTAAAATATTGTGTTTTAAATTAAGATTAGCTACTTTTTATGTTCATTAGCGACGAATCATCAGTGAATTCTTTGCTTGGTATAGAATTTTGAATTCTCATTTACAACTTGAAGCTAAGCTTTAAAAAAAAAAAAAAAAAAATTCAATTCTTTCTCTAATATTATTGTTAATGTTGTTTTAGATTTTTGGCGAACGTTATGAATCATGTCGTGGAGCAAAAGTATATCGGAATACAGATGGATCGTCGAAAGGTTTAGGCTTTGTACGGTTTTCAGATCAAACTGATCAACAGAGAGCATTGGTAATATTTGTAAAGATTTTTTTTTAGTTTCTAAAAAATGTTAAAATTTGATAGATAGGTAGATAGATAGATAGATAGATAGATAGATAGATAGATAGATAGATAGATAGATAGATAGATAGATAGATAGATAGATAGATAGATAGATAGATAGATAGATAGATAGATAGATAGATAGATAGATAGATAGATAGATAGATAGATAGATAGATAGATAGATAGATAGATAGATAGATAGATAGATAGATAGATAGATTAGATAGATAGATAGATAGATAGATAGATAGATAGATAGATAGATAGATAGATAGATAGATAGATAGATAGATAGATAGATAGATAGATAGATAGATAGATAGATAGATAGATAGATAGATAGATAGATAGATAGATAGATAGATAGATAGATAGATAGATAGATAGATAGATAGATAGATAGATAGATAGATAGATAGATAGATAGATAGATAGATAGATAGATAGATAGATAGATAGATAGATAGATAGATAGATAGATAGATAGATAGATAGATAGATAGATAGATAGATAGATAGATAGATAGATAGATAGATAGATAGATAGATAGATAGATAGATAGATAGATAGATAGATAGATAGATAGATAGATAGATAGATAGATAGATATAGATAGATAGATAGATAGATAGATAGATAGATAGATAGATAGATAGATAGATAGATAGATAGATAGATAGATAGATAGATAGATAGATAGATAGATAGATAGATAGATAGATAGATAGATAGATAGATAGATAGATGGAGCAAGAGGTTTTCAATTATACATTGGATATTTTTAGCTTGAAATGAATAAATATCGTGTCGATGGTAAGCAACTAATCCTCAAATTAGCGCAACCGAAATATCGAGCACCACGACAACCACGTCATCTTCAACAACAACAGCAACAACAACAACAACAACAAGCTCAGAATAATATTACTGGTTATGATAATGCCAGTAATTATTTGCAGACTCAGGTTTTCTTTTTTTTTTGTTGTTGTTGTGAATAATAATTAAAAGTTTCAACAAAAATAATTTCATTATGATTTATTTTATAAGCATTTTATAATTTCAGTATTTATAATGAAAAAGGTTATGTATTATTGGAATTTGTATTAATTTCAGGATAATAACACATCATCTGTAACAACACCAACATCAGTAACATCTTATTATCCGTATAATGCAACACCTGTAGCAAATGCTCATGCAGTGAATACTTATCATACATCATATACATATCCATCAATACATCCTCGAACTACTCCTCAACAAGCTATTTCTGAAGTAATTAAATTAAAATTTATTATTTATTACTATAGAAATTATATGAAATATCATCTTATCTTATTTGTTTCTGTCATAAATTTACTACATTTGCTGGTTTTTCCATAGAATTGTTTTTTCGGTTTATTCCTTGTAAATGTATAAACATTATATAAAACTTATTATAATAATTCATGTAAAATAAGTGAAAACATTTAATTGATTTTTGAAAAAAAAAAAAAAAAAATGAATTTCTGTAATTTAAGTATAAAAATCACTTTTAGCAATACTATTCATGCGTAGTTGGTGGAGCAATTGTATCATATGAAATGTGTGGTATTGAATCGGTAGAAGATGAATCAGCTGAACAGAGCAATGAATATTTGTTGCAAAATGGTGAGGAATTTTATGAAGCACTTGAGCAAAGCAGATGGAGTAAGGTTGTATTTGATGCTAATATGTGTGAAGATGATCTCTTAAAAGTTCTTGGTTAATACTTACTTATCTTCTTGGTATTTTCATAATAATTATCTTTGTATTTAAAATTTTTCAGTTGATTTTTTTCTTTTCATTTCAACTTTTGAAATAGTTTTTTTTTTCTTTTTTTTTTTTCTAAATTTGATTGATTTTTTTAGTGTTGTTAAGTTTATAAAATATTTTTCGATGCTTATTTGAAATACGGTTGATTTTTTTTTTTTTTGATTGGAAAAATAACTACTGGTAAAAATTGTTTAAATTTTATGAAGAGTAAATATTGATATTCATATTATGAATGCTTTGATAAATATTCGTAATTTTGAATGTTTAAGCATTTCATTGTTTGTTTTTAATGCTTTCATTTGCTATTCAAAAATTTTTTTTGTTGATTTTTGCTTATTACATATGATAAATGCATTGTATGAACAATTTAGCAATTATTTTGCTTCTTAAAAAAGAAAGAAAATTTTATCATATGATTAATTATATTATAAATAAAATGTGAAATTATTATAAAGAAAATAGAATTAAATTTGAAATTATTATAAAAAAAAAAAAAAATTAAAAAATTAAAGGATCATTTAAGACTGTTCAACTATGATTCCATTCATAGCATAAATGTAAGCAAAAATACGGGTCAACAAGGTCATATTATGTTGCTGTAACATCGAATCATGATCACCATCAACCAGAAATATATCCACTTTTTTCGTTGAAATTTTATGCCATCCATTTGAAATTAACGATTGTGTTTGTTGTTTGGAATTTAATTCTCTTAAAAAAGAAAAAAAAAAAATAATAATCAAAAATTATTCAGAAAAATATGAATGTAAAGAAGAAGGAAAGGAAGCAAATTAATTTTTCTCTCTTTTGAATAATATGAAACATTAGTAAATGATTAGCCTTTTTTTTTTCTCTCTCTCTCTCTCTCTCTCTAGATAGTTTAGTTAAATTATGAATTTCATGATTTTAAGTTTTTAATTATGAATTTCATGATTTTAAGTTTTTAATTATGAATTTTAAAAAAGAAACAAGAAAGAAGAAATCATTTTTTTTCTTAATGGTATATATTTGTTTATCACTAAGTTTATCACTGATTATAGCAAATGAAATTTGTTTACTTACCTTAGATGTGTTCGAAGAGGAGAATTTCCATGATCTTTTGCTTTTAAAAGGTAAATTTTGATTGAATTAATTGTAAATTGATGATTTTGTAGCATTTTAGTTAATTTCATCGATTTCTTAATATATTCCTCTTTATCTGGCAATCCTTTTAATTTTTCCTAAAAAATAAAAAAAATAATTTTAAAAAATGTAGTAATTATTTCTCTTACATTTCTGTACTATATGAGTAAATAAAATAAATTTTTTTTTTTAACAATTACTTCTTACTTCTTTTTCATCTTTGCTATATAAATAAGTAAGCTAAATCTTTACTATATGAATAAGTAAAGTAATTTTTTTTTTTTTTTTTGACAAAATAAAAGTTAAAAGTAAAGTAAATTTCTTTTTCTTTTTCTGACAAAATAAAAGTTAAAAGTAAAGTAAACTTTTTCTGACAAAATAAAAGTTAAAAGTAAAGTAAATTTCTTTTTCTTTTTTTGACGAAATAAAAGTTAAAACCACCTGAAGGTAGCATATGAGAGTATTCATATGTAAATTTTCAATACCAATACACCATGAATCAAGCATTATAACAAATAATTCTTTTTTATTATCTCGATTATTATTAAGTAATTCTGCAATTTCACGTGCCAAAATACCACCTAATGAATGTCCCATTAAATATATCGCATTCATTTGACTATGTTTAACAATCTAAATAATTTTAAAACTTTAATTAATTACATAAATTTAATTTAACAATGGAAATATTATTTTTTAAAAAAAGAAATTACGAAGCAAAAATAAATATTTTTTATCAACAAATAATTTCTTAAAATGGAAAAAAAAAAAAAAAAAAAAAAAACGAAGAGTTTCCATATTTTATAACAATTTGATAACTTTTTTTTTTGTGCCTAGAAAATTTTTTTTAAAGAAAACATATATGCAAATATTTATTTATTTTTTTATTTAACATATAACATATGTTGAATAATATAGTAAGGGTTTAAATCATTGAATGTGATAAAATTCTAATTTATTGATTAATGTAATAAAGGTTTAATTTATTGAACAATGTGATAAAATTCTAATTTATTGAATGATATTATAAAAGTTTAATTTTATGGATAATGTGATAAAATTCTAATTTATTGAATAATATTATAAAAGTTTAATTTATTGAACACTATGATAAAAGATGATAAAAGTTTAATTTATTCAATAATCTGATAAATTTATTGGATAATCTGATAAAATTCTAATTTATTGATTAATATGATCAAAGTTTAATTTTTTATTTTTTACAGACATATTTCACTTTTCATACTAGAAGTTTAATTTATTCAATAATCTGATAAATTTATTGGATAATCTGATAAAATTCTAATTTATTGATTAATATGATCAAAGTTTAATTTTTTATTTTTTACAGACATATTTCACTTTTCATACTAGAAGTTTAATTTATTAAATAATCTGATAAAATTGTCATTTATTGAACAATATGATAAAAGTTCAATTTATTAAATAATGTGATAAAATTCTAATTTATTGATTAATATTATAAAAGTTTAAAAATTTTAAATTTTCCAATAAAACTTTATGAAGATATATATATATATTTTACTTTTCATATCTAACTATAATGCAAATAATTTAAATAGGTGAAATTTTTTTTTTTTACTTACCTGTTTCGAGTAAAATGTTGCAAGTTCAATTAAACTATCCGATGGATAATACAATTCATATTCGATAGCATAAATATTAAAACATTGTGGTATAGTTGATACTAATCCAAAATATGAATAAATTGTACCAGCAATTGCATGTATCATATAAACATTACCAATTGATGTGACAGTTTCTCGAAGATTGACAAATTTTATCAAATTAAAATCTTGCAAAGGTACAGATAAATGATAATTTTGATAAGTGTAATCATTTTTTTCATTATAGCAAATATTCAGTTCTGTTTGTATGCTAGCAATAAGTGCTGCTAATGTTGGTTGACGATAGAATTGTTGAAAATTTAAAGTGAAATTAAATTTATCACGAAGTTTTTGTCGTAGAAGTATTAGTAGCAGAGAATGTCCACCAATTGTAAAAAAATTATCAGTGAGATTAATTTGTGATAAGCCAATTAATTGACACCAAATTTTTTGCACCTCTTGTTGTAATACATTATTAGTTTGAATTGATGCAATAATTTCATTATCATTATCAGTGGAATGATAATAATAATCATTTCTTATCATTTCATTTAATTTATTCACATCAATTTTTCCATTTCGATTTAATGGCATTCGTTGTAGCAAAATAATTTTTTTTGGTATCATAAAATGAAGTAAATTTTCATTCAAATATTGTCGTAATAAATCACAGTAATATTTACTATCAGTTTCTTTTTCAATAAATAATACCAAACTATCTAATTGTTCATTTTTTAAAACAATAACATTTCCAATTGTTAAATCCCATTTTCGTACTACAATTTCAATTTCAGTTGGTTCAAGACGATAACCATGCATTTTCAATTGTTTATCTTTACGTCCAAGAAAATGATATTTTTCACCAAATTTTATTACAAAATCACCAGTGTAATAAGCAATTAAATTACGTTTTAAAATTTCATCTTCTTTAGTATGAAATTTATTACATTTAAAAACATTTGAATTATTTAAATTTAAATAACCACGTGTTATACCATTACCACAAATTACTAATTCACCTTTAGCACCATTACATGTTAGATTATTTTCTGAATCTAATACATATGCAAATTCATTATTAATTACTGTTCCAATTATACGACCACATTCGTTTTCAAAAATGGTGCAATTATTTGTTAATGACCAAATTGTTGTTTCAGTTGGTCCATAAATTTGACATAAACAAATTCCCAATTGTAAACAACGATTAATTTGTTGATTGTTAATTGTTTCACCACCAACAAATAATTTTTCTAGTTGTTGCAACTGATTAATCTCATCATTATCAAACATATTAAATAGTGCTGCTGATAAGAATGCAAATTGTACATTCATTTCAATAATTTCATTTGTTGCATTAAGAATATTTGCTGCGCTAATTAAACAACAACCATTTGAAAATGTTGTAAAAATATTCATACAACTTACATCAAAAATTGTATTTACCGAATGATAAATGCGATAGTTAGGATGAAATGTTGTTTGTTGTGTTGATGCAACAATAAAATTAAGCAAATTTTGATTTGTAACACAAACTGCTTTCGGTTTTCCGGTTGTACCACTGGTAAATATTACATATGATAAATCAATACATTGTGAATATTTTTTCATCCGTTCATTTGCTAATTTTTTATTGCAATAAATCATTTTCCAATTTTTCGTATCAGTTTGTTGTTGTTGTTGTTGATTAGTAAATGCTGCAAATTGTTCCATGTTTAGCATTGGAATATTCAAATTTAAGTGCTTTTCTTGAACAATAATAATTGTTGCACCAATATCATGCACTAATTGTGCAATCATTGTGCTAGAATTTGCTGGATCAATTGGCGCATATGCAGCACCAATTAATTGCACTGCTAATAGCGGTGCTATTATTGCATTTGAATCAGCACATATTGGTATTATTGTATCAGCACGAATATTTTCACAACTATTTTGCAAATAAAATTGTGTTATTTGCTTAGAAAATACATCAATCATTTCGTACAGTTGTTGATAAGTAATTATTGTTTGATATGAATTGCAAAAAGCAATAAGCTTATCAGTATGTATTGCTTGTTGTTTGATAATATCAATAGCACTACCTGATAATACATCACAATAATGCATTTTACATTTGAAATTATACATTTCATTTTGAATACAATCATTTTTGCTACAAATTGATTTAAGTAATTTCAAATAAACAACAATCATTTGATCGATAAGTTGATTGGAATATTGATTTGCATTATAATTAATAGTAATTAATGGTCCATTATCATTATCATTTATTTCATCAATTGTAAATGCAAAATCAAATGCATCATTTGTGGTAAGTTGTTTTATTGAACATTTCACATTTGAAATTTCAATTTTTGGAAAATCAAGATTATGACGATAGTTAAAAAATATATTAAAAATAGGATGTTGATTTGTTGCAAATTGTCGTTGCTCTGTTGATAAATTAGCAACCAATAAATGAAATGGTAAATGTTCAAATGAACGAGCATCCTGAATTGCTGCTTTAATTTGCTCAAAAAGCATTTCATTTGTTACATTCATTTGAAAATTTTCAACAATTAAAATAATATTATTTAAAAAATAACCCATAACTAATTTCATTTCATCAACATTCATTCGACCAGATACCGGACAACCAATTATTATTGTATTATTATCATAATCATTCGAGAATTTACGAATGAGACATACAAATGCAGTAAGCATTACTGTATAAACAGTTTGTTGATAACGTTTAGCTGTTTCATTTACCTGCATCCATAGTGATAATGAAACATTGAAAATTTTTTGACGAATTAATTTTGTTATCAGAATTGCTGTTTTATGTGTGATAATTTGTGTTCCTTGTTGTTGTTGTTGTTGTTGAAATTTTGCACACAATCGTTTCAAATCATCATTTATCATTTGAGTAAAATTATCACTACGTTGCCATGCAGCAAAATGTGCTACATGATGTGATAAACGTTTAAATGTTACCGGAATATGCTCATTTGTTAGACAATAATGATAAAATTTGCTTAATTCATTAGCAAAAATAGTCATCGACCAACCATCAGTGATAATATGATGTTGACTTATCACTATCATATATTCATTTTTCATCTTATCACTGCTCTCACTACTACACATTGATAATAATCGAAATGGAATTTGTCTTAAATCCATTATATGATTTTTTTCATCATTTATCAATTGATAACGTTCATATTCATCTAACATTGGCCATAACATATGATAATAGGATTCAGTAAGTGATTGAATTTCCTGATAACATATATCATTTCTTATCAGAAATGTTGTTCGTAGTGATGTTTGTCGTGCAATTAGAAATAGAAATGCTTTATGCAAACTTTTAATGCAAATTAATCCTTGAAATGTTAGCAAAAAGCAAATATTATAGAGTGTTGGATGGTGTAATTCTCGTAAAATAAACATATTTTCTTGTGGATAACTTAATCGAATCATTTTTAACTTTTCAATACAATCAAACATTTTGTAATCTTTTAATTTAAATGAAAATTTTTGCTCATTTCTTTTCAATTTTGCATTTTGTAAAAAATGCAAAAACTGTTGAAATTGTGAATGTTGAAATAAATCATCCAATTTGCAATCAATTTGCAACATACAATTAATTTCCCAAATAATTTGCATACCATTTAATGAATGTCCACCTAATTGAAAGAAATCATCATGATCAATGATCTGTTCAACATTCAAATAATTCATCCAAATTTTTGCAATAACATTTTTAAATTCATTGCAATTCATTTTCATATTTTTTTCCTCCATTAATTCAGTTGCAAATTTATCATTTAATGTAAAATTTAATTTACGAATTTCCTGAATTATTTCATTTGGATTAATAAATGAAACAGCAATTAATCCTTGTTGATACAAACATTTTTTTATCATTTGTTCAGCATCATTTACTGATAATGAATATTTCATGATCAGGTTTGCTACAGGATTTTGACTTTTATTTTTGTCGCTGTTATAATTGCTAAGCATAGTGCTATCTCTCCAACCGGTCCATTGTACGGTTGTAATTTTTTGAACATTCCGGAATTTTTGCTCACTGCATATATCAAGAAAAATATTTGATGCTGCATAATCACTATTACCAGGTATGCCAAATAATGCATTCATACTGGAATTAAGAATTAAACTTCGAATATTGATATTATTTTCATGTAAAATATTGATTACATTACGAATACCACAAATTTTTGGTTGCAAAACAGTTTGTAATTCATTGAAATTTTTGTCAAATTTAATACTACGATCAATTTTTCCAGCTGCTGCATGTATGATAACATTGATTTGTTTATGTTGTGACATTATTTGTGTCAATAAATGTCGCACATCATCGTTGTTTGTCACATCAATGTCATATGCAAAGAATTTATGTTGCTCATTGTTAACATCAACAATTGCTGCTACATTTGTCTGATTAACTTTTTTAGACATTTCCAAATTTCGTAAAATTTTCCATTGATTAATTTTATTTTGATGTTGTTGAAAGTGTTTTGTAGCATTTGGACAAGCAATACAAATTGTTAAATTGTTAAAATTTTGACAAAGAACATTTGCAAATGATTGTCCAATGCTACCAAATCCAAAAATTACAATGATATCAGCATTTTGAATCAGACAACAATCATTCTTATCAATTATTGATTGTTTCTCATTTCCAATCAAATAATTATCACATTCAGTTAATTTTAATTGATAGGAAAAATACTCAAATTTATCATTTACAAAATTTCGAATTAATGCAAAATTAGCATGATGCAATTGAAGTAATTGTAATGCATCAAATAAATTAATTTCTGATGTGCAAAGAATACATGCAGCTTTCATTGATCTTTTTGTCATTACAAATTCTCGTATTGGTCCAAGAACAGTAAATATTTCCGGTTCTGCATTCCAATCAATACATGTCAGAAATTTTAAATCAATCATATTTTGTGTAATAATTGTTAAAATCCAATATACAGAATAAAAACTTGTTAATAAATATGAATCACTGCTCTCATCAGTTTGTAAATTTACCGGAAAATTCCATGCATGAATTATAGTATCATAATAAAAATTATTACTGCGAAGAAAATTAGCTAATTCATAGTACGATTGTTGATTATTTGAATTAATATAAATATTATCATTTATTACATTAATATTTCCGGTTAATGATATTGTATCATTAAAAATACACTGCACCGGTACAAATAAATTATGTAGCATTGAAAGAAATTTATCAATTGAATTTGTCCTTCTTTGTGATACAAATAATAAAACTCCTTTTGGTAATTGTTGTTGTTGTTGTTTTGTTGTATATTTACATGATAACCAACATGATTCATACAAATTTACATCAATATTTTCACTCGTCCATTTCACTGTTTGTTTCTCCCAGCAAATATTTTTTTCAAATTGATAATTTGGAAGAAATTTATCAAAGCTATAATTGCCACAAATTTTTTCCCAATTTAATTCATAACCTTTCATCCATAATTTTGTTGCAATATGAAGTAAATTACCTGTATCATAACCTTTTTCATATTGTTTCTTTGATGGTATTGTTGAAATAATATCAATTTTGCATTGTTTATTAGCATTTAATAAACTTTCCAAAATACCTTTTGGACCAATTTCAATAATTATTTTAATTTGATCGCTTAAATTTGCAATACATTTATCAAGTCGAACAGCATAACGCATATGTTCAATCATATATTTAGCATCAAAATGCTTAATTAATTCACCATTAATATTTGATAAAATTTGTTTTGTTGGCTTTTGAAAAGTGAATTTTGCCAAAAATTGCTCAAATTCATCAAGTATTGAATTCATAAATGAACTATGAAAACCATAATTTGTTGTTAGCTCTCGACAATGTATTTCATTAATTTCCAACAATTGCTTAAATGCATCAATTGTTTTAGGTTTACCAACAAAACATTTCAAATTTGAATGTAGATGAGCTGAAATTTCAATTGTTTCAGGAATTTGCAAGCATTTTTTATTGCTATTCAAATGTTTGTTATAAATTGCACAATTTACAGCTAACATTTTAGCATTTTCTGTTTTTGCAATCAAACATCCACGTTTGAAAATAATCATTAATGCTGTTTCAATATCAAAAACATTAGCTTGTACAGCAGCAACATATTCACCTAAACTATGTCCAATCATAATACAACCATCAATTTTCCATTCTTTTAATTGTTCCATTAAAGCATAGCAAATAATAAATGTAGCTAATTGTGAATATGGTTGCTTTAAAAGCATATTTTCCATTGTTATTGTTTGTTGTTGGTGTTGTTGTTGTTGTTGTTGTTGTTGTTGTTGTTGATGAATTATATTTTCAAAATTTACACCAATTAATTTACTAGCAATATGAAAACATTTTTTCATTACATTACAAAATGTTTGATTATATTTCATTGCTTCAAAACCCATATTTAAATATTCCAATCCTTGTGGTGCAATATAGAATGCAATATTTTCACATTTTAAATTAATTATTTTTTCAATTTTAACAGCATTTTTTAATTCATTTTTAGCATCGCTAATTGTTCGTACAGTAATACCAAATCGATATTGAAAATGTTCACGATAATTTTGCAATGTACTTGCAATTTGATTTAAATTCATTTTCATTTGCAAATAATTACCAATGCAATTACAAAGTTGCATGCATGCATTTTTACTTTTACCAGTTATGATTAATGCATAAAAATAATGATTATTATTTGATTGATATGTTGATAAGAAATGATTATTATCATTTTCAATGATTAGATGCGCATTTGTACCACCAATACCAGATGCATTTACAGCTAAACGTAAAATTTTCTTCTCAATTTCAATATTACATTTGGTAATTTGAAAGCTAACATCGCTTAAATGTTCATTAAATTGTTCAAAATTAATTTGTCTTGGAATAATTCTCATTTCAGCAATTTTGCATAATTTTATAATTGCAGCAATACCAGCACCAGCTAATGCATGTCCAATATTTGCTTTAACAGAACCAATTAATGTGTCACGTTGATAACACTGTGACATTGCTGTAAGTTCAATTAGATCACCTGTTATTGTACCACTACCGTGACATTCAATATAATCAATTTCATTTGTGTCACACATTTCAATTGCTTTTTTGATACAGCTTTGTTGACCAGTAATATTTGGTGCCATAAAGCTTGACTTTAATAAGCCATCATTTGTAATTGCATAGCCAATTATATTACCTATAACAGGTATGTTCATTTTTTGAGCATCATTTAATCGTTGTAGTACAATAACACCAACTGCTGAACCTCGAACTGTTCCACTGGATTGTTGATCAAATGGACGACAGTGACCATCAGTTGATAGTATCATTCCATGTTTTAAGCTATTATTATTATTACTATTGTTACCTGTATAAGGTAATGCTAATGATACAGCACCAGCAAGTACAATATCACATTGATTTTGTTTTAGTAAATTAATTGCTTGTACAATAGCAATAAGTGCAGTGGAGCATGCTGAATAAACAGCAAATGATGGACCATTTAGATTGAGCAAATGACTGGTCCATGTAGCAATAAAATCTTTTTGATTAATCTCGTATAAATTTTCAATACCACCAATGCAACGTGATTTCACGTGATACTCTGATGGTTCAGCACCAACAATAACACCAATTCGTAATTTATCTCGAATACGTATAAGACCAGAACGTTCTAGAGCAATATATGCATGCTCAACAAATTTACGAATTTGTGGATCAATATAATTTGCATCACTAGATGTTAAATTCCAGAATTGATAATCAAATTTATCTAAATCAGGCATTATACCAATTCCTTCTATCATTTCTTCATGATCATTTATTTTTGTTCGTTTTTGTTGCTCAATTAATTCTTGACCATCTAGCAAAGAGCGCCAAAATATCTCATCATTAGATGCGCCAGAAAATGCACCTGAATAACCAATAATTGCTATCTTATCATTTTTATCATTTTTCATACGCTTATCATTTTGTAATTTATTATCATTTATTAGCATATTTTGTGCTAAATATTGTGATAATGTTTGAACAGTTGAATATTCATAGAAAATTGCAATTGGAATATTTAAATTTAATCGTTCATTAAGTAATTTTTGCATTTCGGTAATCATTAATGAATCAATTCCCATTGACATAAAACCAATATCAAATTTAACATCTGTTATACCACTTACTTCCATAATACAATTATTGATTATTTCAGTGAAATTTTTTTCGGATCCAGAAATTGAATGCAAATTATTTTGTAAAATAAATTCATCTCCCTTGTTGTCGTTATTGTTGTCGCTATTGTTGTTATTGTCGTCGCTATTATTGTTATTGTTGTTGTTGTTATTGTCATTATTAATGGAAATATTTTCCAAAAATTTTCTCAAATATGGACGTTTTTTTTGAAGTATATCAAAATTAACACTCATTGCTATATGATGACCTTTACTAGAAAGTAATTTGTAACATAGTTGTGTCACCTGTTCTACCTGTAATAATTTCCAACCACTGGTCTGAATTTGTCGTCTAATTTTAGCCATATGTTCACCGGCCAAAAATCCTTGACCATCCCATGGTCCCCAACTAATGACCAATCCATTTGGTACATTTTTTCGCATCAAATATTCCATAAGTTCATTAGCAACAACATAATTAGCTTGTCCAGCAGAGCCAAGAATTGTTGCAGCTGATGAGAATGCAACAATTTTTTGAATTGAATACAATCTTGAAAGTTTGATAATATTTTGTAAACCTAAAACTTTTGGTTGACAAACCATTTCAAATAATTTCACATTCATATTTTCCATCAAACAATTGCTTACTGTTGCTGCACAATGAAAGATCATATCAAATGGCGCAAATGTCGCAAAAATTTTTTCCATTTGCATATAATCAGTGCAATCTGCCTGTATTGTTCTAATTATTGAGCCATTCTTATCACTGCTACATGTATTAAGCATTGTTCTTGAGATAGCAATCGCTAAACGTGGTTTTAAAATTTCAATTAATTTTCCTGCTATTCCTCGAATATTTCCTGTTATCAGTATTCGATCAGTATTTCTTATCTGTTCCACAATTAATTCTTTATCATTCATTTCTTGCATTCTTTCAACAAATCGATTACCGCCACTGTAACAAATTATTTCATTGATAAAATTTTCATCCCAAATTTCATACAAAATTTGCTTATCAATAATATCAGTATGAATAGCTTTAAAATTTACACTTGTCTCTTCCATTGCTAATGTTTTTAGTAAAGCTGAAAATGGCGCAAATAATCTTTCATTTTCATTGCTATTACTAATAGCAAAAACAATTAAGCATAATTTTGCATTATTATTGTTTCTGAAACAATTATTATTGTTATTGTTGTTGTTGTTATTGTTGTTGCTGCTGTTTACCAGAATTTTCCATAAATTAATCACCAGCATACTTTGTTTTATAGTATTTTCCAATAAATTTTCCTCATCAATTATCCATTCAAATATCAATTTTGTACATTGATGCAAATGAAATTGTTTTTTAATCCTAACAATATCATCATTATCATTTATCTTGGTGACAAATATAGCTTGTTGTCCTAGAATTGTTGTTGTATCGGTTAGATTAATAGCAATAAATGGCATAGTTTGTTCCGGATCCGGTAGTAAACATTTCTTTTGAACTAACTTATACAGATAGTGAGAATTGATCAAATCCGTTTTAGTATTATCAAAATTATTACTGTTAAATTGATCAATTATAGGATTTACACTTTCGAGATTTTTCGTCTGCTCAGACATTTCCAATTGCAAATTTGAAAAGTGAATTTCAGTATGCAATGAATTACAATCATTAATTTGCATATTACAATCAGTAAATGGCCAATATTTTTTCTTGGAATATTCGGCATCCGGTATGAGACATGTTTTAACTGTCTGATCATTAAGCATTTTCCAATTGATATCAATAAAATGCACATATAGTTGACAAATTATTTCCACAAATTGATTGCTAAATGTTTTTTTCAAATTACTGCCAAATTTCATTTTAGGTTTTTCAATTTGTAAAGTTGATATGCTTAAAATACAATCGAAATTATCAGAAATTATTTCTTCCTGTATTTCAAAATTGCAACATTCATATGACATTCCTTTTTGATAATTTCTTCTTATCACTTTAGCAATAATTTGATCAATTCTATTCGTTGCAATAATTATTAATGGTTTTACACCAATTACAAATAGAAATGTAAGCAATGAAATTTTTGAAATATATTCAAATGCATTTTGTTCATCTAATTTTGTTGTTGTAAAATTATTTGTGCATTTATAAATTTTGAGATATTTGAGGAAAATTTTTCGAAATGAACGATATGATATGTATAATTCAGCAATCATAGCTGGTTCCGGTTTTCCTTCCATTTTAAAAATAATTTTAGTCCATTTTTGTGATTTTTTAAACATTTCCACAAAAGACATCCATTTTTGTGTATGCTGTTTAATTGGCATTGCTATTCGATATTTTCCGGTAGATAAATCCGGTGAATTTTGTAACATTGCACAGACTGTTGTAAGATTGTAGCATGCATTTTCTACATACATTTTTAATTTTCCGGAAATTAATTTAAGTACTTCTAAATTATCACCTGAATATGAAATGATAGATGGAGAATGATTGGTTGATAGCATTTGCTTTATCATTGATTGTTTTGATCTTTTTACATCATTTTGCAATTGTTCTCGATTTGATCTTCTGAGAACGATTGATGTATTGGTACCACTGAAACCAAAACTATTTATGAGTATATCAATGGTACCATTTGGTAATTCTTCACCAATTACCGGTACAATTAATGAACCACAATCATTTATGATATTTCGATTTAACAATTTGAAATGTTGCATTGATGGTAGATAGTTATGATTGCATGCTTCAAGCACCATAATTAATGATGCAGCACCGGCTACAGCTTCACAATGACCTATTGAACTTTTGACCGATGTAATATGAATCGATTGAGCATCATTATCATTATCATTATTATCAGCCAAAGCATTTAAAATAGCTTTTGCTTCAATTGGATCACCTAATGAGGTACCTGTTGCATGTGCTTCCACCCAATTTATCACTGACTTATTTACTCGTTTCTTACAAACTTTACTCATTAATTCATATTCACTTATTCCATTTGGTACTGTAAGCGCATTTGATCGTCCATTATGTCGCATACCGTATGCTTCAATTGTAAATTTAAAATCATTTTGATGAATTGCAAATGTTTCACTTTTTAAATTCAAATTTTTTCCATGAATTAATATCATAGCAGCACCATCTGATCGAACATATCCATCTGCATCCACATCAAATACCTTACAAAAATTTGTTTCACTAAGCATTTGAGCATTCTGTAAGACAGTTGTTGATTTTAAATTTAAAATTATATTAATAGCACCAACAAGTGCCATACGACAATTACCCTGTTTAATATTATCACATGCAACAGTAAGTGCAGAAGCAAATGATGAACATGCTGTATCAATTACCATTGTTGGTCCATTTAAATTATACCAATAAGCAATACGTCCTGCTAAAGCACTTTGATTTGTACCTGTACTCAGGTATGAATTTGCATCATTAATTTCTGCATATGCTTTTTGTGCAAAATCATTTGAGCTAACACCAATAAAAACACCTGTTTCATTAGTTAATTCTTTCAAACCTGTTTTTTCAATTAATTTTTGTGTCAACTCTAATAGAATACGTTGTTGAGGATCAATGTAAATTGCTTCTTTAGGTGTAATACCAAATTTTGATGGTTCAAACATTGTTATATCAGTTTGAAATTTTTGAATATTATCAGTTGAATGAGAATTGATTCCTGCTTTCAAATTATTCCATAATGATGCACAATCAGTTGCAGAATTAGGAAATTGACCAATATAGCTAATAATTTCAATTTCTAATATTTTATCTTGAATAGATAATTTCTTATCTGTGCTAATTTCATCTGTTAATTTACTAACAGTATTAGTTGGAGTAATTTTGTTATCACTTGTAGTGTTATCACACTTATCACTGCTAGCAAAATGGTTCATTTCTTTGTTAGCAGAATATTGTGATTGTGAATGATTGCAATGTTTTGTTGATATAATAGACTTATTAGCACTAATATCAATTGCTTTAACATTATGTAAAATAATAATTTCACTATCATTATCATAAATAATAACTGATCCTTTGATAATATTATCAGTACGTTTTGTGATAATTCCATATGCATGAAAATAATTGCTTTTTGTACATATTGCATTATAATTGATGATAATATCATCAATTGCAAATGGAATATAAACTGATAATTTGTTCGTATTGAGAAGTGCAGCAGAAAGTAATTGAAGTGAACCATCAATAAGTCTTATCAGATCATTATCATTTATCAATAATGCACTAATATAACAATCTTTACGATATATTTCACGTAATATTTGAAAATTTGGTCCATATTGTAAGCCATTTTTTCGCATTATTTCATAAAATAATTGATGCGATAAATTGTGCATTTTCATTTTGAATTGTTTACATTTAATTTGTAAATTTTTTAATGCATTAATTTGTTTCATTTTTTCAACAATTATTTTACGCTTTTCATTACCTAATCGACAACTGCAATAATTATTATCACTGCTATCTGTTAGCAATAATTCTGTTTTGATAAATTTCACATTAATTTTGCTTAGATTAGCAACAGTAATTCGTTTTTCCAATCGTAATGCTTCAAAAATAATCATTCTCCTTTCATCTGATAACTTATCATAATTCATTCTTTTCATTGCATCAATTTTTGCATCCAATAAATTTGTTGTATATTCAACAAATAGAACAATAATAAATGCAGCAGGTAATATTATAGCACCATGAAGACGATGCTCCTCAAATAATTTCATATTTTTTTTGTTCAACAATTTTTTCATCAGCATGCTTTTATCAGTGGAATTATTATCAGTGTTAATTTCATTGCAAATTTGTTCCCATTTAATTTTAACACCAAAATTTTGAAGTTGACATAATGAATGAATAAATGAGTCCATTTCATACATATTATTGCTAATTGATGATAATATTAAATTATCTGATTTAGAATTAATCATACTTCGTACAAATGTTGTCAAAATTTCACCATTACCAATTTCAAGCCATATATTCGTTTTATTTCTACGTAATGTTTCAATGCATTTTTTAAAATATACAGTTGAATTAATTGATGCAATTATTTGATTATCAATGAAATTAGTAGCATTGATTAATTCACCAGTGGAATAGCAAATAACATTTTGTTTTGTTTGTTTTTTCAATTTTATTTGTTTACATTCCATTTTATATTGCTCTAATAATGTGTTATCAATTACTGAGCTATGAAATGGATAGCAATCATCAATTATTGTAAATGAATAATGATGTAATTGTGCATAATGTATGCATAATTTAGCTGATTGATTATCACCTGATAAGATTATTTGCTTATCACTATTGATAGCTGCATAGTGCATTCCACTATACTGTTGTAATTTTGCACCATTTTCTTTATCATTAACAGCAATCATTTTACCCATTCCTCTGGTAAATTCAAGAATTTCACCACGTCGTATGACTAATTTTAATGCATCAATAAGTGATATTTGATTAGCTAATGTATATGCAACAATTTCACCAATACTATGTCCAACAAAATATGTCGCATTTACACCGCAATATTCATAAAATTTTGCAAGCGAATATGCAAAACAATAAATAATTGGTTGTGCATAATTTGTTTTATACAGCAACTCTCGATAATGCCAATGATAAATTACATCTCGAATATTGACACTTTTTTTAGCCATATATTCATTTGCAATATTTAATGTTTCATCAAATTTTTGTCGAAAAAATGGAAAAATAGAACTTAATTGTCTACCCATATTCCATATTTGACTTCCTTGTCCACTAATCATAAAGCATATAATTGCTTTTCGAGAATGCTCAATATTATTTGCAATAATAATTTCTTCTTGCAACAGTTTATATTTGAAACCCCAAATAATATGTAAATAATTATTGTTCCATTGTTTATTGCTACATGTAATCATCGTTGATCGATTTAATTGTTTGTGCAAATTATAAAAGCGAATTTGTTCGTTGTCTAATTTTTTGTTAGCTGTTGAATGAAGTGTAAAAAATTTAAAACTTTTAGCTATATTTTCTGAATAATCCATCAAATTTGCATGACAATTGCGCTCAATGCGCTCAGTAATTTCATCGTCAGAATATTCTTTAATACGATAGTATAATGATGCAATATAATGTAAAAGTTGATTGATTGTTGGATGCTCAAATATTGCTAATACATTTAAAGTTGGTTTTATTTCAATTTTTTCCGTTAACTTACTCACAAATTGATAAATTTTGAATGAATCAAGACCAAGATCCATAAAAGTTTGCTGATAATTTTCGATTGTTATCATATCACCAGTTAATTCCTCCAATATTTTGATCATTTCTAATTTGAGACAATCAATGTTTTTTTCTTCATTAATTCCTGTTTTATTTGCTGCTGCCGTATTTTTATTCCATTGCACCAAATTATCAGTTATTGATTGATTTTTGTCCAATTGATCACTTCGGTTTAACATCTGTTCCGAATTATTCTTTCCAATTATTTGTATATTATTATCATTTGCAGTATTGAGTAATACAGTAGCTAAATCAGGACGATAGTGTAAAATTTTCCGGATATCAATTTGTGCAATAATCATTCTTTCCGGTGCATAATCAATAGCAATTTGTAAATAAGCTAATGCTTTTTGCGTCTTCAAACCAATGAAACCAATTTCATTTAAAATTTTATTAGCCTTAATAGCCATTCCGGTTTCTAACCAATTACCCCAATTAATTATTGTTGCTGGAAGTTGTTTTGCTCGACGTTTAAGCATAATTTCATCAATAAAAGCATTAGCTGCCGAATAGTTACATTGGCCACGATTACCAATTAATGCAGAAATAGATGAATTAATAATAAAATGTTTAATTGGATGTAAACGACATAATTTATCCAACATTAATAAACCATTACATTTTGCATCAATTACAAGCCGAAAAGTTGAATGTGTTTGTTTGGCTGCTAATTTATCATGAATGCAACCAGCACTATGAATAATACTTGTTAATGTTACTGGTAATTTCTCAAAAAATTCTTGCACTTGCATTTTGCATGTTAAATCAACCGAAAATGCTCGTACGTCAACGCCCGTACGTTCACGCATTTTTTTCATTTCATCATTTTGCATTTCATTTGGTTCTTTTCTACCAAGCAAAAAAAGATGTGAAATATTTCGACGATTGTAACCGATATATTTAGCCATTTGCCAACCAATACCACCAAGACCACCAGTTATAAGCCATCTTTCTTTTAACAATGCATCATTTTTTATCACTGATAATTTTGATAATTGTTTTTTTGTATAATTTTTAAAATTTGAAATTTTTTGCAAAATAAAATTCCATTCATATTGCACTTTTGGATATAATTCAGCGCATAAACTTTTAGCAAATCCTAATGCAAATGCATTAGCATATCCAGAATTAAATTTGCTAGAAAATATAAAAATTTGATTTGATTGAATGATTATTATTTGTGTTAATTGAAGTAATACATCAACAAGATATTTTAGTGAAAAATTATTGCTTAATGCAAATTTGATCAAAATTTTTTTATGATCATTCAAATATGATAGCAAATAATGCTTGAAATTCACAGAATTTCTTCTATTAAAATGCAATATTTTGGCATTATCATCAATGCTTTGATATTTTTGCATTTTATCATTTACAATAATTATCAATTGATTATCTGATTTTTGTTTCAATAAAAATTCCTTATCAGTAATGATAACATTCATACAATCATTTCTTGACTGCTTCTTAAAGAATATTTGTGTATATGCATAATTATCATTATCATCCAGCATTGATGATAATGTATGCTTATCGTCCAGTCGAGATTCTCTAGAAGTCGAGAATTCTTCAAATGTAGTGATAGTGCCAGAATGCTTCACCATTATTTCACTTATCTTTTTATCATCTTTGTTATCAGTAATTTTTGATGATATTTTATGCTTATAAATTGCATCCGTTAACAGTTTAATATTGGAATAATTGAAAAGATCAACAGCACTAAATTGCAAATTAGGAAAATAAATTGTATTTAAACGATTAGCAAGATCAGTAATTGCTAATGAATCAAGACCAAGTTCAATAAATGATGCTGATAATTGCTTATTGCTAATTGGACAATTATCTTTACGAATATCTTCCACTGCATGTCGTACCTTATCAATGCATTCTTGATAAGTAACAAATGAAGTGCTGATAAATTGATCTGATTTTTTTTTCTTATCAATTTTCTCTTTTCGACCCTTTTTCATCTTATCAATCTTTTCATTACATTTATTATCACTGTTATTATCATTATCATCATCCAAATTCACACTTATCATTATCGTTTGATCATTTCCGCTATAAACGATAATTTTACGATTTGTAATTGCTAAATACACTGTTGATTCGGTTAAAAATGCTTGATGAAAATTTAAATTTTTAATGATAAATTTCTTATCACCATAAATATCATTTGGATTTAAAATATCACAATAGCATACACTTTGTATTATTGCTTCTAATATATGAAAAATTTGATAGCAACATTTTGCTACAAATATTATTTCATTAGAGGAAGTTGTAGAAGTACGAATAATTGTTTGATAAATTCCATCATAAATTATTCCTTTATTATTGAGAATTTCATAAAAATTTGGTTTGCTAATAAAACCATTTTTAATTTTATTAATATTTAATCGTTTCATTGTTGTTTCATGAACATTAAGAATAATATTTGCTTCACAAATAACACTTGTTGCACATGTTAATTTGATGTGATATTTGATATTTGAATATTTTGTAATTGTTGTTTTCATCCAATCATTTTCCTTCAACAAATATTTGTTCATTGTAAAATTATGAAAGTAATATTGCGATTGTTTGCTAATATTTTTTGTGAAAAATGTTAGCTGTAATGCTTGTATAATAGCATCACAGCAAATACCAAATGAAAAGCGCATTTGTCCATTGTATTTAAACGCCATCAATAATTTTGCATTTGTCATTTTGCTAATTTGATTAATAAAAATGCATTCATTTTGGCCTTCTTTCATCAATCGTCCAATTAACCAATGATCAATTGTTGGTGAATTTTTTGTAATCCAATATGATTCACGTTTAAATTGATAATTTGGAAGTGTAATTTGATAAGAAGATGTTGAATAGAGATGTTTCCAATTAATACAATTTCCATGTAAATATGATATTCCAATCATTTCCATTAATTCATATTCAAAATTTTTCTGATCTCTAATAATATCTAATTTATACCATTTATAACGATCAACGATTTGCTTCTTTGTTGCTGAAATTTTCTTCGTAAAAATTTGCATATTTGAATATATTTTATAATTGTTTACATTGGTAAATGCTAATTTACCTGTAATTAAATGTGCTGCTAGCAATGATAAATTATCAGTAGCATAAATAGCATTTAATTTAATGCCAATATCATTTAGAAAAGTAATTAAACTTAATAGGCCAGCTAAAATAATATCACAATAAGTTTGTGATAATTTTGCCAGAATTTGTTGCACAGCAAAATTTTTCATTAATGGAAGATAAAATTTATAAATCATTCTAAATTTTGGAAAATTTGAATGAAACCAAGAAAATAGATATATGTATGAATAATTTGATAATTTCAATCCTATCATTGCTTCTCCTTCTCCTCCTTTTCCGTCTTTATCATTTTTCATCACCAATTTTTGTATAATTTTTCTTTTATGTATGATAATAATAGCACGATAATGCATATGATTTCGATGAAGCGATGCTGTTGAACAAATATTAGCAATTATTTGATTGCTATTTTCAAGCATTGTTTGATAGCTTATCATTAGCATATTTAATGATTCCATACATTTTGCTGATAATGGACAAAGATATGTTTGCATTTTTGTTGTTAAATTTAATTTCATTTTTAATTGTTTATTATCAAATAATTTTTTACATTGTATTATTGCCATAGCATTTGTACCACCAATACCAAATGAACTTATTCCAGCTAATGCATTATTACACATCCATTCTTCACCAATAATAGGCAAATATAAATTTCCATTTTGTAAATTTTGTAAAAATTGATATGATCCATGCACTGGAATATAATCATTTTTAAATTGCAATAAAATTTTAGCTAAACCAGTAGCACCAGCAGCAGCTTCCGAATGTCCAAAATGTGTTTTAGCAGTGCTTATTAAGCATTGATGCTGCAAATTAGCTTGCAATGCTTTTAATTCAATTGCATCACCAATTATTGTACCAGTACCATGTGCTTCCCAATAATCAATCAATTGCTTTTCAGAAATTTCACTCAAACAATTTTGCAATAATTTTTCTTGTGCAAAACCATTTGGTGCTGTTAGTGAAATGCTTTTTCCATTATGACCAATTGTTGTTGAAATTATTCTTATCATACAATCATCAATTCTTTCATTATCAGTAGTATTACTACTAGTAGTAATATTATCAGCAGCAGTAGTAGTATTATCAGCAGTAGTAGTAGTAGTGATATTATCAGTAGTAGTAGTAGTAGTAGTGATATTATTTAATGTTAAAAGAAGTGCTACACAACCATCTGCTCTACCATAGCCATTTGATAATGCATCAAAGCTACGACATAAGCCATCATCAGCTAATAAATGACCATTAGCTCGTTGACCAATACTTTGTTCAGTTAAAATTAAATTAACACCTGCAACAATAGCAATTTTGCATTGTTCATTTTTTAATGCATCAATTGCTATTTGTAATGCAACTAAACTTGAACTGCATGCAGTATCAATTGTAATTGCTGGTGCATTACTACCAAACAAATAATTCAATCGTCCACTAACAATACTTGCACTTGAACCAAGCATTGATATAGCATCATCACATTTGACAATATTTGCATATTCATTTGACATAAAACCAATAAAAAAACCTGCATCATGTAAATGAATCATTCCAGCATTTTCCATACATTCATAAATACATTCTAAAAGTAAACGTTGTTGTGGATCGATTTTTTCTGCTTCACTTCTTGAAATACCAAAAAATTTTGCATCAAAATAGCTAATATTATTTGATAAGAAATTACCACATCGTATTGGTATACCATATTGTTGTCCATATGCTAAATTATCTCTACCATTAATACGATCATATGGTATTTTATCTGTCATCAAATCACCAATTTTAAGTGCATTCCAAAATTCTGCTGGATCAGTGATATTTTTTGGTAAACGACATGCAATTGATTTAATACATACAATTTTCTGATCATTTGCTAATATTTTTTCTAATTGTTCAAATTTTTTCATTTTTAATTTTTTTAATTCCATTTGATATGATGAATGTTTGTTTGCTTTGTTAAATGTTGATGAAAAATTTTGATCATTTTTCAATGATTTTAATATATGATTTGTTTTTATTGGAGAAAAATTGATAGCATTTGCTATAACAGTAATTTTATCAGTGATAAATTGAAATGAACCCTGAATTTGTCCATTTTTTAATTTAACTTTAACAAATGCTAATATATTAGCATTAGAATTATTGCTTCTTTCTCTTCTTCTTCCAATCGAAATTTCTTCCTCTTCGCTAATATTATCAGTGATAATCATTTGTTGTATATGAAATGGTACCAATGTGGTACCAGTCGATTTTACACCAAATTGTTGAATGTAAATAAAAACAATTGCTTGCATAGCTCCGTCGATTAACACGTCAAAATGTTCACTTGGCGTAAGTTCAACCGTACCATAATTTCCATTAATTAATAAATTTTTCACCGAACGAAATTCCGCATAATATTGATAGTAATACTTTTCCATTTCAGTATAAAATTCTTTTTCAGTTACTAATTTAGCATTTAATTCTGTTTCAATAGCTAATAATCGTTTATCAATGCTAGCAGAAATCCAATTATTACTTTTGTCAAAATATTTGACAATTTGACAATTTCTAACAAATTGAAATGTAACACATTGATGATTTTTATATGTAACAGTGCAAATATTAGCAGAAAATTGAATTTTAAAATGAATAAAATCATTTTCAGATGTAAAAATAACAGGAAATAAGAATGTTACATTTTTAAAAATGTAACGCTCATTTAAAAATGAGTTAAAAATAGTGATAAGTAGTGTAGCAGCTGATAAAATATTACAATTATGTATCAAATGAGCAAATAAATATTTTTCATCGTTCAAATTTATTTTAACATTGAAAATTTTTTCATTGACTGATAAATTTGTCATAGTTTTTTTTTCAATTAAAATTTTTTGTAATGCATTAAAAAGTTTGAAATTATTTTGATGTGCAATAAATGTTATAAAATCATCAAAATTTTCAATATGCTTCATTAAGCAATTATTATTTGTTGATCCAATTATCATAAATGATTTTAATTGATCATTTAAAAATTGTTCATTTTGCATTTCATTTGTAAGAATTGCTGTTATCAGTGTTTCCATATTTGATATGATTAGCTGCTCGATGTTAATTAGCGAAATTGCATTTTGAAAATTAATATCAATTTTTGATAGGATTGCATTAATTTGTTTAGCAATTATCAATTTATCACCACTGATCGTTGTTATCAGTGAATCGATCATTTTCCATGCAAAACATGCATCATCAAGTTTAATTGCATTTTTAGCAGCTAACATCATTAGTGTATCAATTCCGGAAACGATTATTCGTTCAGGATTATAGCCAATATGAAATAGTAATTTAATAAATGCATATGTTAGCGCACCACATTGCTCGATTGTTTCAATTGTCAAATCATTGTGACAAATATGAAATGCATCACAACATTGCTTGTAATACTGTTGAAAAGTATCTGATAATATCTGGAATGATGATAATGCTAATGTGCATTTTCTCGAGATATTTATCAGTAATCCCGGGATTTGCAAATTTTTGTTCCATTCAATACTTTCAAATTGTTTGCCATCGTTGCATTCTTCTTGCTTTTCAGTAATTGCATTTCCAGTATTTGTATTAATTTCAAATTTTAATCCTTTCTTTTTGCTATCGAAATTTTTTGATTTATTTTGATCGCATTCATTGTCACATTTAGTGTTCATTGCTTGACCATTGGTCATTTTGTTTCTTCCTTGATCGTTACACTCATTCCGTTGTTCTGGAATCTTCCAATAATTATTCCATTCTTTGGCATTATCCGGTATGTCTTCCGGATCATACTTGTGATCCATAATATCATCAGTAAAATAAAACGATATCCTGAATGTGTGAACTGATATTAACTGATATTAGGAGGGTAATTAATATAAAATGAAAATCAAAAATGAAATGAATGAAATATTTGAAATTTGAATGAAAAGCATTTAACTGATATTAGGAGTGTAATTAATATAAAATGAAAATCAAAAATGAAATGAATGAAATATTTGAAATTTGAATGAAAAGCATTTAACTGATATTAGGAGTATAATTAATATAAAATGAAAATCAAAAATGAAATATTTGAAATTTAAATGAAAAGCATTGAAGAATTAAAAATAGTAATTGGAAAATTAAAAAATGCCAAGAAAACGATAAAAATATTTATTACTGAAATTAAATAATTCATGAAATGTAATAATCTTTAAAAGTATTAAGATGCAACAAAATTATTATTTATTAAATATTAATTCGATTAATTTTTTAATTAGTTTTATAATAAAACAAAGACAATTTTTTTCTCCATAAAATTTGTTAACTATTTTAAATTTTTAAAAAGAAAAAAAAAAGAATTGAAAAAGAGAAGAAGACAAAATTATTACATTTTGTTAAATTAATTTTTTAAATATTTTTATAATAAGAACAAAGACGAGTTTTTTTCTCATAAAATTTGTTAATTATTTTAAATTTTTAAAAAAGAATAAACAGTAAAGCTCAAAGAAAAAAAGAATTGAAAAATGGAAGAAGAAGAAGAAATATTAATATTACTTGAAGAGATAAAAGAGTGGAAAAAAGAAGATAAAATAAAAAATGTGAAAGGAATAAATGCGCAAAATGTAAATGACATTTGCCGCTGAAACACTAACATTAAATAGTTTTATCTACAGTAGATTGAAAATTTGAAAAATTGAGGCAATTATTTGTAAAATAATGCTAATAAAATATCAATTCATCCACTTTTGCAATCTTTTCTCACTTTTTAGTTTTTCTTTTTTTTTGTTCCTTCAACAATTTAGAATTTAGTTTTGTATAAATTATATCAATTTTCTTTTTATTGCTTGAAGAGTTTATTTTTAACTTAGAACAATTTTGCAAGTAATAATTGAATTTATTAAAAATTGAATTTGAATTTTAAAATTAAAATCAAAATAATTTTTAGAAATAATTTGAGATAACGATGAATAGAATTACATTTATTTATATTTACTATTTATTATCATCAGAATTATTATTTTACTATTATTACAGCATACTTTACTTTACTTTATGATGCATAAATATCATAACTTTTTATTATTTTATTTTTGTCACTTAAAAAAAAAAAGAAAAATTTGATAATGGTTACTTTGATATGATAAAATATGACAAATAAGGATTGATAAAAGTGATATGATATGATATTTTATAATGTTTAAAATAGGAAAACAAAAATTATTCATATCATATGATTTCATTTCTAAAACATTTGTTTTAAATTAAATCGAGTAAATAATTTAAGTAAATTAAATTTAAAAAAAGGCATAATTCATTTAATGATTGAAAATTATCAGATTACAATTAAATTAAACTAACAATATCTGTTTCTATCTGTTTGCTTATCTGTCTTATCTCGAGAGTGTTAAAAATTTATCAACAATTTCAACAGAAGCAGATCACTTTTAGCATATTTTTCTTTATTATATTTCAATTTTAAATCAATTTTAAATTTATTAAAAATAAAAATAATTGTCAAAAATTTGTCAAATGTTCTCTAGCTATTATAAATTTATTGACTTTTTAAGTTTTAGTTTAGAAAACAAATAGAAAGATGAAAACGAAAAAAAAACAAAAATAGTTTAACAAACTATTCACTAATTAAAATCAAAAATTAATAAAACAAAAAATTCATAACTGTTGCATGCTAAAATTAATTAATTTAAATTCAATTAAATCTTTTAAGTTTTTAAAATTAATTAATTTAAATTTAATAAAATCTTTTTTACATATTTCTTGCATATAATAATAAATTGTAAATTGATTGCTGCACAAAAATTTTTTAATCTATTCGATAAAAGACAAAAAAAACGAAATCGATAAAATATTGTTTATTAAAAAAATTATTTATCAATTCATTAAATTATTATAAAAATTTAAAATTTTACATATTACCGACAGAAATATATAATTGATATATTATTATGGAATATTTTATAATACTTAAATTTATCTATGTAATATTTTATATTACATAATTTAATTATGTAATAAGATACATACACTGATAAATATTTTGATAAAACTATTATCAGTATTACGTAATTATTTAGTGATAAATGTTTGATACACTATCATATCAGTGACATTTTACAAAATGATTGTGTAAATAAATGTATGTCAAATTTATACGGATGAATGTGCATTGGTGTTGTGACCTAAAAAAGAAAAATTTTTAATGGGTAATTGATGAACGTTTAGTTAAAATGCATACAATGATGAATTTGACTTTTATTTTGAATTCTACTATTATAAATTAAAAAATTTTCAATTATATAAATTTTGTTTAAATTTAAACAAAATTTATTTATTTATTTATTTTTTTTTTTTTTTTGAACAATTAATTTTTAGAAATTAACAATAATTTTATTTAATATGTTTTAAATTTTAGCGCTTACTATTTTTTTTTTCTCTTAAACTTTTTTTTTTTTAAAAAAAGGATAGAAAATTGTTTATTATAATTTAAGTAATGTATTACTGAAAAAGTTTTAAATTATTTGAAATTGTTAATATATTTAAAATGTCTTTTTAGAAATGGCAAATATCTTAAAAAAAAAAAAAAAAAATTTATATATGTATGAAATTGTTTTGATAAAGAAATAATTGCTAAATAATTTTTTAATTTCATTAAGCAATTTTTATTATTAATTTAAGTTTTTTATTTATATTTTTTTTTTGGAAAAAATTTATATATGTTAAATAGATTAAATTATTTGTTAAATTTATTAAAAATTTCATTTTTATTAAAGAATTTTTCCTTCTTTTTTTTTCTTTTTTTGCATGAATAAACCATTTTCATTCATTTCAATGCAAATTTATTGTTAATAAATTATTTCAAAAAAAAAAAAAATATATAAAATTCATTTTTATTTTATATAATAAATTGGATAAAATAAATTGATGAAAAAAAAAAATTTGTTTTCATTACAAAATAAAATTATCCATTAACTATTAACAAAAATTATTTCTTTCCTTTTTTTTTTTTTTTTGCATTTTATATGTTTCAATAAAATAATATCATTGAAATTTTATTCAAATTAAAAATAATAATAATAAAATAGAGAAGATATTCAATTTTTTATAATCAAATATATAAATTAAATTGAATTAAATCTTTTTCAATCTATTCACCTATTGAAGATTTTTTCCCAAAAAGAAAAAAATTCGAAATTAAAAATAAATAAAAAAAAAAGTGAAAAACGATTGTAATAGAATGAATGTTTGTTAATGATAATAAATATAACATTTTCTATCGTTAATTTTTGCATTTTGAAAATATTTCATTCTTATTTTTTATTAATTCATTTAATTTCATATGAAGTATTTCAGTATTGAATATGTTAATATTGCATTGATATTATGTAATTTTATATTGAGAGTATTACTTAATAATGAATGATTGCTGACTGATTATTAATTATTAATGAATGATTAAAATTATACAATCCTGTATTATGTAATTTTTTTCATCAGTAATAATTAATATTAATTCACGAATGATAACTAATAATCGGTAGTATCTAATATTAATTCATCAATATTGAGTAACTGATAATAACTGATATTGGATAATTAATAACAACTGATATTAATTTACTGATAATAATTGATATAATTAATAATAACTGATAAATTAATAATAAGACCGATAGTATCTAACATTAATTCATTAATATCGAGTAATTGATAATAACTGATGTTAATTTACTGATAATATTTGATATAATTAATAATAACTGATAAATTAATAATAAGACCGATAGTATCTAATATTAATCCATTAATATTGAGTAATTGATAATAACTGATATTGGATAATTAATAATAACTGATATTAATTTACTAATAATAACTGATACTAATTTACTAATAATGGATAATTGATAAATATTACTAATTGATAAGTAATAGTAATTGATAATTAATACATTCATTTAGATATTTGTTATATTTAGAATAATATTTACATACAATTAATACAGTTGTGCCAATATTATAAATGTATTAATTAGAATAAACTAAATAACAATGATAACAATTTTATTATCACTAAAAAAAAAATAATGATAATGTCACTATTATCATTGTATGCGATCAAAATTTCAAAAATTAACAAAAAAAAAAAAAAAAAAAAAACAAAAATATTTAGGAATAACAATAAATTCTACAAAAATGTTACAAATTTTATTCCTACTATTTTCATTTTGCATTTTAATTGATGGTGATAGTATCAGTGATTGCTCAAAATATAAAGATTGCGCTTCATGCGTTAAATCATATCGTCCATTGCCAGGATTTAAACGATTTTGCGGGTAATATTTATTTTACAAAATTTAATTTAAAAAATATTTTTTTTTCTCTTTTTTATTTTTGCTGGAAAAAAAAAAAGCAGAAAAATTACTGTATAATTTGTGTTAACAAAAGAAGAAAAAAAAAAAAAAGTATTATCAATCAAATTTAATTCATTTATTTTTTCATTTTGTTTTTTTATCTTTTGAAATGAAACATTAAATTTCAATTATTTTGTTTATTTTTTACAAATAATTACTCAATAAAATTCAATTATCTTTCTTAATTATAACATTGAAATATTCAAAAAATTATTATTAATATTATATTTTATACTCTAGGATTTTTTATCAATTAAATTTCATTTGAAAAAAGTTTTTTTTTTTTCAGATGGCATACTGATAGATCAGTATGTGATGAGCCACTTTCTCTTGTATCAGGTAAAAGTGTTGTCGTACGTGAACCATTTATGTGTCCTCGAAAAGCACCACCTGATGAGGAACATCCTTATACTGATACACTTGGCCGTTCATTATTTAGCCTAGTATTAGCTGTTCGAAATAAAGATCCCACAGAATGTCTTGCTAATAGCCAACCTAATGTACAGTAAGAATAACATTTCTTATTATTGCTTCTTTTCTTTCTCTTTTTTTTATTTCATATTTTAACTAATTTTATTTAAATTTTTAACTAATTTTATTTATCTTATCAATTTCAAATTCTCATCAATATTTCATTTAAATTTATAATATATCAGAAATTATTTTATATCAAAAATTTTCCAATCAATCAATATTGTATTGATTTTTAGCAAATTAATTTTTGTTTATTATGATTTTTATTTATATTAAGATTAATTTTGTTTATTAAAATTAAGATTTTTATTAAATTAATTTTTTTTTTTTAAGACTGATAAAACGTTATGAAGTGGAATGTGATCAATCACATAATCTTTGTGCTTCAATGCTTGCTGTTTCTGAAAGTAATAAAAGTATTTATGTTGTTTATAAATCAAGTAATATGGATAAACAATTAATTACTGAAGTATGTAAATTTTAAATAATTTTCTTTTTTAATTTCAGGAAAATATGCTTATTTATATAAAAATATTGATATAGTTTTTTTTTTATTATTATTTCCTAAAATATTTTAACTAATTTTTACTTCATTTTGAGTCTGTTTGAAATTATCATATAAAAAAAAAAAAAATGGAAATGGAAACTTTGACTGCTTAAATATAATATGGCAGAATAATAACTAATATAAGATAATTTATAGAAAATAATAATTACAAATTAATGTATCTTTAAAATAGTAATTAGTTAGTGTTTTAATAAATTAAAAAATTTTAGCAAATTTCATTATTTTTTTTCGACTTAGAATCAAATTAGTTTTATTGAAAATTCAACGTTCAATAAGTGTATCGATTAAAATTTTATTAATCGTGTACGTAAATTTAACATTTTTTTTGAAAAATTTTTTAATAACAATGATAAAATATTAGAATAAAATTTAGATGTTAATTAATAAGAGAGAAATTAATAATAATAATAATCAAGAGTTCAAATTATCATTGTTATCACTTCAAGAATTGCCATCATTTTATTGTTATCATTTTTAATAATTATTGTCATTTTATAGTTCATACATATGGTGGCAGCGCAATTGGGTGTATGGCAAAATTTCGAAGGTGGTGGCGGTGTGGCGACCTATTTTCATGGCGCATTTGAACGACTTTTCAAGGGAAGCGGCATGAAAGATGACCTCATTAAGCTGAAGAAAAAATATCCCGGTTATGAAGTTTGGGTATGTAACTTAAATTACTCATCACTAAAATAGTATTAATATAACAAAAAAAAAAGTTATGAAAATGAGAAAGAAAAAAAAAACAAATAAACAAACAAAAATGAGTAAACAATTAAAATAAACAGTTTAAATTAAAGATTTGTTGTAATTCATCTTCCTAAAAAAAAAAAAATTTTTTTTGAATTAATTAATAATATTATCAATCATTCCAAATTAGTCATACATTACAAAGAAAAAAAAAAAGAAATAATATTAATAATTGTTGTGGAATGTATTCACTGCCAGATATTTTATTTTCCCTCAAACTTGGGTAATTAAACCCGACAAATTAATATTATAACAACGCATAACGAAAGATATAATATAATTATAAAACACTAAAATAATATCAAAAAACCATCCCAAAATGTAGAATGAATAATCGTAATGGAGGATCGGTTGGTTTATATACAGAACCGAACTGACAACCAGATATCCGGTGATGTGAAACAAAAACCATCCTAAAATGTAGAATGAATAACCGTAATGGAGGATCGGTTGGTTATATACAGAACCGAACTGACAACCAGATATCCGGTAGAGGACATTTAACTGATGTGAAACAAAAACCATCCCAAAATGTAGAATGAATAATCGTAATGGAGGATCGGTTGGTTTATATACAGAACCGAACTGACAACCAGATATCCGGTAGAGGACATTTAACTGATGTGAAACAAAGATTGCTAACAAAGGGTTTTTTATTGTGTGAGAAAAAGGAATTAGCATAATGGCTTAAATGGTCTAATGATCTACGCATAGATCAGTTACAAATGTGAAATTATTTGGTGAATGACTTATCAGACATTTGACAAAAGTATTAGAATTTAAATATAATTTAAATGTATCATTTTTTATGACAATAATATTGTCTATTATCATCTGTTTTTTGTTTTTTTTCTAATATTTTAAATTTAAAAGAAAAATTTTTTAATTAAAATTTAGTATTTTAGTGCACAGGTCATTCATTGGGTGGATCATTATCATCAATGACAGCATTATATCTAATAAAAAAGGAAATATTTCCGGCTAAATTAGTTCGTCTTGTGACATTCGGTGAGCCAAGAACCGGTAATGTAGCATTTGCACAAGCTGTTGAGGAAAATGTCAAAGTTCGTTACAGAGTAGTTCATCGTGGTGATCCGGTAAGTGATAAATGATAACAAATATTATCAGGATTACATATGATTAATTTATTAGTATCAAACATTGATAAATAATTATCAGTAATATTTTATCAAACCATCCCTAATAAAAAATTTCTCAAAAATAATACATATATTAGATAAAATTAGATTAAAAAAATTTATCAAAAATTAAATTAATATTAATTTAGCTTTTCAATAAATCTTTTTTATTTTTAGCAAAATCAATCATAATCCTTCGTTTTTTTTTTTACTTTTTTTTATCAAGATTTTTTTTTTTTGAATTTCCAAATTTTAATTACAAAAATTTTTTGTTTAATTAAATTTTTTATCTGAATTTGTTACATTTTATTTAATTTTTTCTTCCTCCTTTTTTTCTTCTTTTATTTTTCCAATTTTATAAATAAATGATTCAAAAATGAGAAAAAAAAAAGATAAAATTTATTTTCAGATAACAAATATGCCAGCATCAATAAATCCAATTGGTTTGTTATTGTCACCAACAATTGCAGAACGACAAGGATATTTTTATCGTTATTTGGTTTATTATGATAATGATATGAAAAAGGATAATAAATTTAGTGTAAGTTTTTTTTTTTTTTTTTGAATTAAATCGAATAACAAATTTATTTTAAAAAAAAAAAGATTTTTTTTTATAATTATTTAATAACTGATATAATATATATTCTTATTGTCAGATACAATTAATATTATAAATTATTATTATAATCACTTTTTTTTAAAAAAAAAAAGATAATTATAACTTTTATTTATTTTATTAACATATAGAATTTACTCACAAATTCAAATTTTATTTTATTTTATTTCAATCATCTAACTTTTTATCTTAATTATAATTTAAATTTTCACTTAATTAATTAATTCATAGTTGTTTACATTGATAACAACAACATATATATCATTAATTTTTATCAGTTAATTTATAAAATATGATTATTTATTATGATAATTTTTAAATGAAATTATTTATTTTTTAGATATGCACATTATCAGGAGATTACGCTTGTCGTAATTTGGTTTTAGCAAACAATCCGTTAGATCATATAAGTTATTTTGATGTCAATGCTGATTTATATTTGTCGAAGGGATGCAAAGGTGATCAATTAACGGTAATTGGTAACAAAACAGAAAGAAAAAAAACAACAACAACAACAACGAAAACAACAAAAACAACAATAACAACAATAACAACAACAACAACAACAACAACAATAGCAACAACAGCAACAGCTACAGAAACAGCAACAACAATAACAACAACAGCAGCGACGACAGCAACTAGCATTGCCAATGCTGCTGATAGTAATGCTGATAGTGTTGCTAGTGATAATGATACTACAACTACTGATAACGATGCTAAAACTACTGATAGTGATGCTAGTGCTAATGATGATAATAGTGCAACTACTGATGCTACTACTATAACTGATGATAATACGGCAACCACTGATTCTGATGCTGATACTACTACTACTGATACTGCTGTTACTGATACTAATACTACTGATACCGATACTGATACTACTGATGCCGACTCTGATACTACTGATAGCGATACTGATACTACTGCTACTGATACTGAGATTACTACTACTGCTTCTACTACTAATACTATTGCTGTCACAGATAGTGCAAAATAATCAGTTAACTCTCCTAAAAAATGTCAATGATGTACATAGCAATGCTAAATTTTTGAATTTAACTTATTGTTTTTTTTTTTCTTTTTTTTTCTAAATAAAGTATTTGTTTGAAGTTGCTTTACAATATTAAGTTTTTGAATAAAACTTTACAATATTAAGTTTTTTTTTTTCGAATTGAACAATATAAGTTTTTGAATTTGAATAATATTGCTGAAAAACTTGTTAACTGCTAATTATAAATTACACTTTAAAAAAAGGAAAAGAAATTTGTTTTAAAATTATTTTAGGCAAATATCAACTTATGTTGGATAATTGAAATTAGTATATCGAACACAATAAAATTCTTTCATGAGTACTAATCAAGAAATTTTCACTTATTCGTTTTTTTTTTTTTTTTTTTTTTTAAGTGAATATTTACTTTCTGTCCATTTTTCTGTTTCTTTTTTGACTGAAGAAATGTTAGACAAAAAGTAGTAAATTGTAAAAGTAAAACAATATTAGTAGTAAAAATGAATCATTAATTTCAATTTCATCAATTAAACAAGAAATAATCGAGAAATTTAATATCGATCATTTTTTACATTCAAATTAAACTAAGGAAATAGAAAAAAAAAATTTCCAAAATAAATGTTTTACAGGTAGAAATTGTCGAGATATATATTTTCTCGAGAAATATATATATATCTTTGTTAGAGTATCTTTCTTAAATGTATTGAGATGAAGTGTATTTTAATCACTTTTATTTACTAACAATCACAATACAACAATATATTAATTTAATTACAATTTTGTATGAATTAAAAATCTACGAAAATGAAATAAAAGAAAAGGAATAAATTACAGAAAAATTAAGTAAAAAATTTAAATGAATTAAATTTAAATGAATGTGAAAGATTGGCCAAACTATCACTTACTGATATCAAAGAAAAATAAGCAGACAAAGGGTTTAAATCCTAATATAGTGAGCATTGACTTACAATAAGCGCATGTGACTTACAATAAGCGCACGCGACTTACAATAAGCGCATGTGACCTACAATAAGCGCACGCGACTTACAATAAGCGCATGTGACCTACAATAAGCGCACGCGACTTACAATAAGCGCATGTGACCTGCAATAAGTGACTTGCAATAAACGCACGTGACTTACAATAAGCGCACGTGACTTACAATAAGCGCATGTGACTTACAATAAGCGCACGTGACCTTCAATAAGCGCACATGTGATCACAGAGCTGTCAAATGATCTTTGCTCTTTGCGCAATAAGAAATAAATTTTTTAACATGATCAGATCATTTGCTCTCATAAAAATGATTGTTAAATTTATTTCGGAACTTGTAAGTAAATTTGATTTGTAAGAAAAAGAAATTTTTCAATCAGTAATTTTCAAAAGTTTTTTTTTCAAAAGTGAAGTAATTTTCAAATTTACAAAAAATGCAATAAACTATTTCTCAATTAAGTGTGATGGACATCACGATAAAAATTAGTTTAAATATTATAATTAATAAATCTATCATTTCATTAAAAAAGAAAGAAAAAAAACTATTAAATAAATTAAGTTCAAAATTTCAAAGATTTTTAAAATTCAAAATGATTTCAAAAATGATGAAAATTTTCTAATAATTTTTGATATTTGATAATATGATATTATCATGATTTTTTTTTTTTTTTTGAATAATAATGAATTTGAAAAATTTATTGAGTGTTTAAATTGCTGAAGCGCACTGAGAAACTAAAATACTTCTAATAGCTATAGCTGATCAAACAAAAATAAAATAAAAGGCAAATTTTTTAAATGCACTCGCACTTGGAGATAAATTTAATTTGAATCATAGTACTTTTAGCTTTTTTTTTATATATAATTTTAATTATCAAATCATTCTGATCAATTTAACTGATTTATTTGGCACTTTTTTTTTTTTTACTGACAAATCAAAAATTTTTCGAAATTTATATCTTATCAGTGATCAATCAACCATTTGACCATTTTTATGACTATTATATGTTGTCGGAAATATCGAATTGATTTTAATAAAATAAATTTAATTTGAATTACAGAGATACCATCTAAATTCTTTCATTCTATATTTAAGTTTTTTTTAATGATTTTTTTTATTGTTATGTCATTTTTCTTCTTATTGTTTATGATAAATATGAATATAGTGAAATAAATTTATTGAGAGTATGTTGCAGTTAAAGTTTGAAATACATTATTATTCATACAATTATTAAATTCAAGTTTCAAATGATTTCAAAGAATGATGGAAAATTTCTAATGATTACTTGATAATTGCACTTTATGTTATTTTATAAGAATGCTTTAGTTAATTGGCTATTCAGTGCTTCAAATGAAAGCCTTACTAAGATTTGCCAATTATTTCATAGATAATTTAACTAAATCCAATCAATTTAAAAATTCAATGAGTATATTTATATTAATGGATAAACTTAAATTTGAACTTAAATTATTCAGTTATTGATAAGTTACCTTATCGTTTGCATTATTTAGTTAAAATAATCAAAAAAAAATAAAGTCAAAAAAAATTTTTTCAATTTAATAAAACAATTTTTTTTCTCTTTGAATGAATACAGTAATTGATAATTCCATAAATTTCAAAATCTAATATTAAGTTAACATTAAGTTAAAATTTGAAACATCTTTAAGCAAATTACACTTTCATATTCAAGACAAGAAAAATTCTATTTAAGTAAGCAATCTATCATTTTTGTCATAAAAATTATCGATTATCATTTGTCATCCCTTTTTTTTTTTTTTTTTTTTTTTCATGGTTTTATAAAAAAGATGAAAAGTTATTATTACTCCTTTTGTTCATTAAATAATAATATGAGTGAATGATTAACTTAACTTCAATAAAATAAAACTAATTTTACATGCAATCATTTTGTGCAGAATAATTAAGTAAAATAATAAAGTTTAAGTGTATTATTTAATAATTTACCATAATAATCTGCTAATTATCAGATTAAAAATCAACGATATATCAAATGAAAAATAAAAAAATAGTTTATAGGAAAAAAAAAAAAAAAAAAAGAATGAAATGATTACCTGAAATCTACAATAAATCGTGTAAAAATTTTTTGCACAATCAACAAAATTGTTTATTTCAATTCAATTATCATCATATCATATTATCAACATTATCATCAGAGTTGATGAGATTCCATCATTAAATTAGCACCTTTTTTTAATATTTAAAATTTTCTCATAAATAAATATATATCAGAAATGCTATTAAAAACAATTTTTAAATTAGCTTTCTTTTTCTGATAATAATAGTATGAGTGAGAGATTATCTGAATTAGCTTTATCTAAAAACAAAATAAAACAATATGTATATAGAAACATAATAATTTCAAAATGAAAAATTTAAAAAACGATTAAATTTTTAAACAATTTGTCTATGTCACAAATATGCTTATGATGAATTCAATCTATGAGAATTTTTTATCCTAAATTTTGACATTTTCATTTCTTTTTTCACAATGATATTAATATTGCTATGACACATTTTCCGTTTCATTTTCATGCAATTTCATTTTATTTTTTATGATAAGCTTGCAATAGGAAATGATTTGATTTTATATTTTGAAATGATTTGATATTTCGAATATTTCATTTTAAAATGAAATGACTCATTGAAATGATACCACTGTTCTGAACTGATCAATCGAACGATTAATAATGTATTTATGATATCCGTTCTTGTTATCCTTTTGCTTTCTTTTTCTGTTTTTATATAAAAAACAATTTTTTTTTTTTAAAAATCTATACTCATTATTTTGCATTTTCATATAACATTATTATTTCATTCATCGGTTAACCAAATTTAATTTGTCACTAAATTCATCGCAATTGTTGTCTAATTACTTTCTTCTATGGATAAAAATAATATTGATTAAATGAAAGAAAAAACAGTTGTAAGATAAGAGTTAGTTGCAAAATAAAATTTGTTAAATTTCCATTCAAAAGTTTTAGTGTATGATGTTTTGAAAACAGGATAATTAAATCAAATCCGGAAAATTATCAGGATTATCATGATAATATCCAAAAAGCCTACTGATAGATATTATGCTGTTTATATGATTGTATTAATTCATGGATTTGGCATGTTAATGACGTGGAATATGTGGATTACTATTGCGCCTGCGGTAAGTTAACATTAATTGGCGGTATTGTCACAATTTTCCTATGATTCATTGTTTATTTGCAAAAAAAAAGAATTTTTTTTTTTTTTTTGCTTTCTACCAAAGCAATAAAATTTTTATAATTCTTTCAAATAAAAGCTATCGAATTTTTTTTTTTTTTTTTATTATATATGCATGAAAGAAGCAAAAATATAGTTGATAAAAAAAGTGATGAGATGGAAATTTGAAATTAAAATTTTTGCAGTATTATATGGAATATAAATTAATTGGAATGGATAGAAATGGTACAAAATATGTCTCGTCTTATGCAGCTAATTTCCTTAGCTATTTAATTTTAGCTTCCAATTTACCAAATTTCACACTTAATTTGATTAATTTACTCTTTAATTTTAAGTTAGTTTTTGTTTTTTCCTCTTCATTTCATTTAATATCAAATAATTGTATTTCACTGTTTAAAAATTTTACAATAGAATAGAATATTGATTGATTTATTTAAAAAAAACAAAGTTAACCGAGACATCTTATCTTGATATCACTAAAGTAAACAAGTAATATGTAGCAATATTTTCGCGTTTAATTCAAAATTTCCAAGAATATATCAAAGAATTATCCTCAAATAAATAAAAAATAAAATAAAATAAACAAATATATGCTCCAAATGGTTTAATATATAGCATTATCCAAAATGATTCGTCTCCGATAATTTTTTTTTTTTTTTTATATATATGAAATTATATTATTATTTAGAAGATCCATCACATAAATCGAATTTAATTTGATGGAAAAACAGGAAGCTGAACATTCCGGTTACCTTGATGATAGGAATTATGGAAGGGAATAATGGAGAATTTGCTGCGATTATTGATAAAAAAAATGATTAACCGGAAAAAATTTACAGAGGAAGTCTTGAAAAACGAATTACATTATCACTTGCAGTTATGGCATTGATCTGTTTGATTACTCTTATATTCACCGTTATTGATACTTCCAGAAGTAAATTATAAATTTTCGTCATCTACTCGTATATTTGTGTAATTTTATTAGAAAGTTTGTTATTCTAAAAATATTTCAAGAAAGCGCAGATTGCTTAATTGATCATCCGAATTACACCTTAAATCACCGATTATATATAGCATTTTTTGTTATAATCATTGATTAATTTAATCAATGAATATAAATATTCCGGAATTTCATATTACTTTTGCCATCAATGAATATAAATAATCCGGAATTTCATATTACTTTTGGTTATACTGTATTCCAATAAAGAAAGCTGTGGTGATGAACCTATAATTATAATTACCGATTTTATAAATATTACATTTAATTATATCGAAAAACTCAATTAATTTATAGAATATTACATTTGATCATAACTAAAAACTCAATTAATTTATAGATAAAGAGATAGAAAAAAATTATGATATCATTGATTAATTTAATCAAAAAATTATAAACAATTATATGTGCTTCCTAAATTTAAAAAACGATTATATATGCATCCTACATTAAATTATCCATTTTTTTTTTTTTTTTTTTTTTTTTTCACTATAATATTGAACAAATAACTTTTCTAATAAAATAATATCAATTAATCTTAGAAATAGTGTTGTTACCTATTTAATTGTTTATTTGAAAAAAAAAATAACAAATGAACTGTTAACTCAGTTTTTTTTCAAAAAATAATTGCATTAATCAATTTAATTTTTTCCAGTGGTTACGGTATTCTTTATTATAACGATTACTACGGTAGCAATACAGAATGCTGCATGTGGTCTGTACCAAAATTCATTATATGGTTTGGTTGCAGTTTTCCCACCACAATATACCAATGCTATTCTTCTTGGTAGTAATATTTGTGGTACATTTGTATCCGTTGTTAATATTATAACAATTGTTGGTTAGTTTAATACACAAATCCATTTAATTAATTAAATTGCCATTTAATTAAAATGATTTAACAAATTACAATATATATTACGATCCATTACTTCTTACCATTACTTTGTCAAATAATGGTACTTAGTAAAGCTTGAATAATAAATAAAATTAAATGATGATAGTATTTTAATTAGACACATAAACAAAGAAACATTTAATTAGATATATAAACAAATTATATGTGTCACTAAGCAGTTTCAAGATTTATCCTTGTGAATCCTTGCTGTAAATAATCTTGCATTGTTAAAATGCTGAAAATAAGTACAGTTTAATAAAAGTTTTAACTTTAAATTTATTATTCAATCTTTTAGCAACAAATGATATTAAAACTGCTGCTTTCTTCTATTTCTTCATATCATTTCTGGCAGTTCTCACATGTTTTGGCTCATTATTTATACTTGTAAAATTAGTAAGTGTTTACAATTATTATTATTTCACCATATTTTAGTCTTTTCAATTTTGAAGTGTTAATTTTTTTCATAATTATTTTAATTTTGATAATTTAAATCTTTTTTATTCATATTTTTTATTTCCATATGTTATACTTACTATAATTACTTCAAATCTTACTTACTTGATGATATATTCAAAAGCATATGTTAATATATTTGCGTGATATTGCAGGATTTTTATCAGTATTACATGCAAAAAGCAATTGAGAAAATGGGAAAGAGAAATTTGGATGGAATATTGGTTGAATTCAAACAAAATAATAGTAATATAAATAAAACTGGATTAAAAAGTAATAATTGCGAAGTTAGCAAACATACGAACATTTCAAACAGTGGTGATATTGATTTATTAACAATAAATTTTCGGATGAAATTATACCTGTATTACGATGTTTTCAAAAAGGTTATTTCATTCTAAAATTAGTTAATTCATGACTTTATTAAGTAATTAATTTACTTATACTTTAACTTTTCCTGTCATGTTATTTATCAGTTTTTTTTTTTTCTAGCAAAGTAGTTTAAAATCAAACTATCACAGTGACTGAAAGATCACTAAATTGATTGCAGTTATTATCTTTATGTCAAATACTTCATCATGAAAAAATGTTCAAGCATAAGATGATCAAATCATAAAAATAATACATGAAAATATTTCTCAGTTGATCAACAAATTATCTTCTTATCATTCATTATCAGATTGATATATGTGTAATTAATTACTTTTTTTTTTATCATGATCCATAATTTATTTTTTGTCATTTTATATCCTGATCTTGCCATGTATTTATTTTAATTAGTGGATTAATTTGATAAATTTTCTTGCATTAATTTGCTAATTCCATTTTGTTCATTTGCTAGATCAAGCTATTCACTAATTTTTCAGAAATGAATCAATAAAAAAAAAGCTAAAATGGAATTGATCATTGATAAAATTATTTCTTGGAAATAGAATATTGATTGTTTATATGAATTTATGTTCAGATAAGAATGCAATGCTTCAATATTTGGTTTATATTCGTTGTAACAATAGCATTATTTCCAGCAGTAATGGCTGATGTGAAAGTTTATAGTGAAAACGGTATTTACAGCTTTGTAATACCAGGTAAGTATTATTATCACTGATATCACTGATAAGTTTAACTGAAATGAATTGAATGTTAAGTGATTAGAATTGTGATGTCTTTAACAAATTGATTAAATCATAATTTGATTAAAACGATGTATTACATTTTTTACCTATCATACTGATTGATAATAATTTTAAGAAATGACTTATTGTTCTGGAAGATTTAATTTACATATTATTTAACTGAACCATATGATTTATTATTTAAGTTTAATATATTCAATTAGATATAATCTGCCATTAACTTATATGAACAGATAAATTATTGTTGCATATTTTCAGAAAAATTATTCACCCCAGTAACCACATACTTTTTTTTCAATCTCTTTGCTTTTTTTGGATCATTTTTGGCAAATTTCGTGCATTGGGTATTTCTTTTTTGGAGTCTTATTTTTTCCAAGAATAATTTTAAAAATTCCATAAATAAAAAAAACTGAAACTTTTTTTTTTAAAAAAAAAGAAAAAAACGATAAAAAATGAAAAATTAAAATTATAAATGAATAAAATTTAGCCTCAACCTAAATGGCTTGTGATACCAGTTATCATACAAGTAGCTTTTATTCCGCTAATGTTAATCTGTAACTTTCGATCAGCACATCGAACATGGAAAATATTAATTTATAATACATGGGTTTACATTGCTCTGGCTATCTCAATGTCATTATGCAGCGGATATTTCAGTGCCTTGGCCCTTATGTACGCACCAAAGTAAGTCCATTCTTTAAACTTACTTCAATTTCTTCCTCATATCCATCATTTCAGTAATTTTGACTTATCTGACATTGTTTACCACTTAAGTATTACTGATAAAAGTCAAACCTATTGAATATTGCCAGACAAAATTACAGAATTAGCACAGAGTTTTAGATTTAAAATTCAACATTTCCATAGCAAACAGAACATCAGAATTGAAATTTGTAACTGTTAAGTTCAATTTTTTAATTATTATCTGTTAATTTTTAATTGCTAATTGTTAAATTTTAGACAGGTTGAAGCATCAAAATCTACGATTGCTGGAATGATTGCTGCTTTCTTCCTTATGTTTGGTTACTTTTTTCATTATTATCCAAAAAAAAAAGCAGAATTAAACTTTCAACTTTGATCTAAGATAAGCATAACAAAGTATTTCGAATCATTCAATTGGAACACACTAAATTGGTTAAACTATAATTTTCAATTCAAATGAAATTACTGTAATTTCAATATTACTTTTCAGGTGTGATATGTGGTACATTACTTACATTCGTCATATTATGGTTTATTGATAGCGTTGGACCACTACAACCTACAAAATTATGAAAGAAAAAGAGTAGAAATAGTGACTGAAATGATAGTATTCATATAAGTAAAATCTTTCTACCGTATCCCATCTCTTCTTACCGCATCCAATCTCTTCTTACCGTACTTTTCATGCCGTTCTACCGTATCGCTCATATTTCATTGTATTCTATCATTTTGCAATATATATATATTGTATGAGAAAAAGGAATTATTGTCTTTTTATTTTTTATTTATTGCTGCTAATTTTGGTTTATTTTAATATTATGCTATAACTGCTCTATAAAATATTCATACAATTAGCAACAAATATTTTTTTCAATTGCAGAAGTAGATTAAAAAATGATAATTAAACCTGATCTAATGTTACTTTTTCGTTCATATGTAACTTATTTTGAACAATTTTATTGATTTCGAACTGACTATAAATTGCTCAATTAAGTTTTATTTAATAAAAGATAAAATGTTATCAGTTAACTTTACATTACTACCACTACTGCAACAACAACACATATCAATCTTTAATATTTCTTTTGGAATTATTTAGTGCTTGAAAAATCTAAATGTCAATTCACTGATAGTTTTTCTCGAGAATTTAAATTCTTTAATTCATCAAACATTCAACAAATCATTTCAACATTTTAGGGATTTCAGAATACGTCGCATGCAACATAAAGTTTATTTTCCCATTTGGTCGGTGGAGGGAAATTTGTTGATGATTGTTTGGCACGGAAATTTCTAATTTTAATATGGTCTGATTAGAAGTGGGAAGGATTGAGATTTACGAGGTTTATTATCTTTAATTATGATAGGATGAGGAGAAATTGAGAATTCTTATCAGAGATTTAAGATTAAAGTATTTTTAAAATAAAATAAAGATAGGAGAAGATATTTAGAATTTGATGAGATGCAACAGATGAAGAAAAGTTAGGTGGGAATTAGCGAAATAATTTTGACAGAGAAGTGATAAAGTTGATGATAAATATGTTATCATTAGATGACAATAAATTATTCAACAATGTTTATCCTTTAGCAATTTTTTTTCACTTAATCAGTTCTATATTAGAGGAATATGAAACTTTTCCAGAAAGTTGATTATTGTTATTAAAAAGTAAATAATTACTTAATGCAAGATTATTTTTTTCTTCTTTTTTCTTTCTTGAAGTTTCAAGTATTTCACGCATTCATAATTTAATTTGATATTGGATTGATAATGTTTTTTTTTTTTTTTTTTCTTTTTCAGTTTTAATTGATTTGAAAATTACTCGTTGATGTAGGAGTAATGGATGCTGAAATTGAAGAGCTAAAGTAAGGTTACTTTACAAATTTTTGTAAAATCAACCATCTAGATTTTTATAGTCTCATTTTTAAGAATATTTTATTGATTTTTGTGAGATTTAGGCAAGAAAACCTCATATGGATTATCGTATAAGCTCAAGCGAATATTCTGTGGATTTTATATAAATTTTCAATTAAAAGTTGCTGAAGATTTTATTCTGATTTTTAGTATTTTTTTTTTTTCACATACAAAATACAATAATACACAATCGCTTGCATGTCTTTATGTTTTGTTTTAATCATTTATTGTTATAGATTGAAATTAAAAGAATCAGAATCAAAACAAGTGGCCATTGCCCAGTTGGCGAAAGAGATATTGGAGAAGGATAAAGATAAAGATCAACGCCTTTCTACGCTTGGTGAAGAAAATCTTCAGCAATCAAGAGTATAAATTTATGTTTGCATCGATACATTTATGTTTTGTTAACTTTATCGTTTTGTGATAGTCATAAAACCTTTAAAATAATCATCATTATAAGTAGCATTTGTTAAGAAAATTCGATTACTTCATCGAATTATTTTAAAGTAATAAAATATCAACCATTAAATTATAATTTCAGGATATCGCTCGGTTACAAGCATTACTGAAAACTCGTGATGAATATTTGGCTGATGCTGAGAGTGAAATAATAAAACTTCGCAATGAAATTACCGAAATAAATGGTACTAAAAGCGCTTATTTGGTCGAACTTGAACAAAAAATATCTTCTCTTCGTACAGAGGTTTCTTATATTAATTTGCTACATAGTGAAGTATCATTTACTTCCTCTTATTTTTGTCAACTATTTGTCATTTATGATAATTTTTTCATATCGTCTTATTTTTATCAGTTGATTTTAGTTTCATGTTTTTTTTTTTTTTTTTTTTAATGGCTGTTTTAATTACTGACAATTTTTTTTCCTAGAATAATAGATCTGATCATTCTTGATTTCGAATTAAAAAGTGAGACATAAAATATTAAAAGCGAAATAAAAACTCCGATTAATATATTTTGAAAGCAGTCACTTACAGATAAATGAAAAGAATGACATGCTATTTGAACAAGAACAAGAAATACAAGGATTAAAAAAAACATTGGCATCGAAAGAGCGGGAATTGGAAAAAGCATCACAAAAACCTGATGTTGCAATCATCCAGACATCGAACACTTTTTCTGATTCTGAACGAGAAAAGTTGAATCAAAAAATGGTTAACCAATACTTTCTTGAACCAATACTTTCTTAGAATGCCCAAAACTATGCTATAAGAAAAAATTATTTTGAAATTTCTTATATTTCTAAATCTTACATTACTTTGACTTTTTCAGGCGGAATTGGAATTGGAGAAGAATTTGATATTGGAGGAGATTTCAGAGCTACAAGATAAAGTAGTTATAGCTAATCGAAATTTGGACAATGAAAGAAGCCATGTTGAGGAGCTGTCAACGATATGTAATGCTTACAAACATGACGTTGAGGTTTATCCTTCGTTCTTTGATTTAAAAAATTTCTTTTTGTAATTTAATCCTATTTGAATAATATGCACTTTTTCATCTTTTGTCATGTTTTATTTCAAAGATAATTTGAAGGAATTAAAAAATCGATGTAATGAATTAACTTCCGAATTGAATGAGTATCGCAGTAAAACAAAGATCGCAAAGAGAGGAAACTCAATGTTTTTTGAGGTGAGTTAAGCAATTCATCTTTATAAAGAAAGAAGTTTCTATGTTAGTTTCATTTTAAACTTTAAAAATTATTTTCGTGATTTTGTTTTTGCAGTATTTCTCAGTTTTCATACTGTTGCTGTCATTGTTATTTTAGGTTTCGTTTTTAGTTTGTTGATGAAAGAGTTAAACTGGAAAAAGATCTTCTGAAGCTCAAATGCCAGAATGATTTTTTTGCTAGTCAGAAAGAAGCATATGAATTGGAATTAAACGAGCTTAGAAACGAATTAATGCTTGCATTAACTTTGCGCGCTAACGAAGGAAATACTGGTAAATGATTGTTTAATAATATGTTAGCTATTTAATCAAATTTGTTTTAAGGTAGAAGAGATGTCAGAGTTTTTATTTGATGCTCCTAAGAAAAGTATGTTATTTTTTTGGCATGTCAGTTTTTGTAATTTTTATAGATGTTGTATAGTGTGAATTGTTATGCACATCATAATACCGCAAATGCATTCAAATATTTGTCATATTTGTTGTTTTTCTGGTGCAAATGAATGTTTTTTTGCTGGTATTGATCTACCCATTTTCTTTATTTACTTCTATTTTAATTAAGGCAGTGATACAAGTATGTTACAACTGGAGATTTCTCGCTTACGTACTGAACTGACGACACTTAATGCAAAATTACTAGAGAAATGCAAGGAGAGCACACAAGTTGAGACAGAGAGTGTTTCAAATACTTCAAAGATGATTGATATGAGAGAATATGCCTTCAACAGTTTGAAGTTAGTTTTCTTTTATTATGTTTTTTCATTTACAACTAAAATTTTGAAGATTCAAGAAGAATGCACAAGAAAATTGTTTGGATTATGCCTGGTCTGTATGAATGCAAAACCTAGGCTTTATTTAATCATTCGCATTGATAATCCTAAGTTGAGGTTAGTGAATGCTAACAGGTAATTTTCGAAGTTCATCAAATCTTATTATGATGATCAATAATAAATTGATACCCTTAACAATTTCTTCTATTAATTTTGTTGCAGAGAAGAGGTGAAAATGTTGACTTTAAAATTAGGCAGAGCGGAGAAAGAGCGCATGGCATACTTTGATAAAGTTCGAGAATCAGAGATTCGATATTCGGAAGAGTGTAAGCGTTCCCGAAAGCTTTCAAACGAAATTGACTGCTTAAAAAGACGACTTATATTGGAGCAAAAAAAGAGTTTTAATAATACTCTTTCTAAAGCGTTTAAGCCTTCAAAAGGTTCATATTTATTTTTTAAAAAATAGGCCTGATTTACATGTACTTAATTTACTACTCGTTCTAAACTGCTGATAATTAACGCGAAAATTTTTTAATTTAAATTGTCGGATTAGTCAAAAATTCGGTAGTTTTAAATAGCAGTCGCTTGTTTTATCTTAAAATCAATGTTATTCCTTACTTTGGTCCCTTCATCATGATTTATTCGGTGAATTTCATTCTATTTTACATAATTTTGTGCATCATTTGCCAATACATTATTGATAATCTTTTTAGAAATTCTATCGAAAAACATTACTGATTTCAATGAAAAAATTGCTAATATTAATCAAATTGATATGGATGATCCAACTATCAGCGAAATTCAGAGCTCATTTACACTATCGAGTTGCTCTCTCAGACGTCCATCGGGAGACGAAGAAATTGCTACTGTTACAACTAGTACTTTTTTCTTTATTTTTATTTCAAATCTTATATATTTCTGGAAAATACAAACTACCTATGTCTCTTGATTATTGCTTTAAATCATTAGATATAAACTTTAGTCGTTCTGTGATTACTTTGTTTTAGATTCTATGATAACTCAGTTACATTTAACTGTTGTATGCACGGTGTTTACATTTTGACCGAATAATTAGAATCATTTTTTATTTTTAGTAATCTCTTATTTGCTTTTTTTTTTTTCTGTCATTCATTTGGATAGAAGTTCTATGAACTAGAATTATAAACAGTGTGAGAAAAAAAAAAAAGGGTTTTACTTTGTCTTTAATGTTAATTTGA